AACTTGAATTAATTTGAAAGATTAAGCATTACGGAAATGATTGTGGGGACTGGTGGGGACTGAGGGTTACAATATTAATTTTTAGCAATTTCCCATATACATCTGCTTTTTATTTGAAAGAAATTTTATCTCAATCTTAGTCAATGCTAACACACCATAAATCACCACCCATTACATCCTGAAAACAGCTTAGTTCCTCACAAAAATATTTATGAGGCTCCTCTAAAATGGCTCTCCTCGAAGCTCATCCTGCCTCAGAGGTTTTTATTTTACATTTACCACTGGAACAGACCCAATAATAAAAATCACAAATTTACTTGCATAATAGCCGAGATGACTACACCTTTTTCCTTCAGTTTGAAAAAGTAGGAGTACAATTTCAAAAAGATGCACTACTTCAATTTGAAGAAGATTTCATTTAAATTGAATGGCAATTGGCACATGTCTGAAATTAAAGTGCACCTTTTCAAATTGAACTTAACCTTTTTCAAACTGAAGCAAAACAGGTGTAGATGACATGACATGCTATTGACCTGGTGAGTTCAGTAGATATAACACAAAATTAAAGGCATAGTAAGCATAATGATGTGATAATTAGATTGTAATGGTCGATTGGAATTTGGGGCCTGTTCCAGCGCCTCCAGAAACCTCCAGAAAGCTCCAGAAAGCTCTAGAATCCTCCAGAGAGCGTTCCAGCGCCTCCAGAAAGCTCCAGAAAGCTCTCGCCAAAGCTCCAGAAACCTCCAGTAGCCTCCAGAGAGTTGAGAGGTCCAAATTTCTCTGGAGGCTCTGGTCTACAATTATGGTGCACATGTGACAATCACGAATGTAAACAAAGGACATTTGACTGATTATTTTACAACTTGAATGTAAAGAAAATTACATTGCTATAATTTTATTTATCTTTTTAACTAAAATTGAAAACAAATTTTGCGTTTCAAGAGAGAACAATCGTCATTCTTTTGGTATCTATGACGCCAATCTCCAGAAATCTCCAGATTGCGTTCCAGCGCCTCCAGTAAAACCTCTGGTAGAGCCTCCAGTCAAGAATTTCTTCTGGAGGCGCTGGAACAGGCCCTTGAATTGTGAGCGCTGGCTCAGCGATCTTGATCTAACCTCTCTAACCTCCAGCGACACCACTGACACTGGGCCTGGAAACTCCAATTTAAAATTAAATAATTACCTTTTCACATGAATGATGTCTATGAATATTTTCAATGACAGATGAGCTACTGTTTAATATCTTGATTCATGAGTAACAGCAATTTTATCAAAATTTTCCACGAGAATTTGCACCGTGTATTCACACACACACTACCACAAGAAGAATAATATAACCAAGGCCCTAAATAATATAACATTTACACGGGTCAGGGAAAACGGCGCACGAGTGACATAATTTGGCAGCAAGGCATAGCGGGAAAATTCTTCACCAAGCACAAAGTTTTTTCCTCCTGAATCACTCCGCTTGGCATTCAGCATACGGGTGGGACTAAATGCTTACTTCGAAATCTAAGCTGCGTTGCGGCATTGGCGGTTATGTGCGGCGTGTATGCCGCATGATTAGTAAGCGGCGACCACTAAATTAAAGACTCAAACGCTCCGACCGGTTCTCAATGAATAACACTGCATACCAAAAATGTCAACCGCTCTCGTCATAAGATATTTAGCTTTAAATAACTAGATTATCTACATCATCATTTTGAACCATAATGCTTTCAACTTAACTCACTCATTCCTTCCTTTGTTGGCTCCAAATACGCCTCCAGCAGGCTGCAGTAGACAACAGTTGACGATAGATAGAAACATGCTAGATCACTGAAAAGTAGAACAGTTAGGATGCTGGATGCGCTTAGCTTCGCGATACGAAACTGATGTGCAACATAACATTTTCTGTGACCTTGACCTGAGGTCAAATTCTTAATTTGACCTTTTCAGGTCAACTTATAGCTTATTCGGCGTGTTTTGACGAGAGAAACGCGATGCTGGTAACTAATCAACGTGACTTACAAGCTTGACGTCAAAAATTATTACAGAAAAAAACGTTTTCCCAAAAACGTCAGATTGTGAGTTCGGCGTGCCCTCTGGAGGCTGAACCGTTGAACGTAGGTGAAATGTGAAAGCATTAGGCTCAGAAAGAACTTTTAAACAGCTATCGAATGCGCTTTTCCGCGGTGCTCTAGCTCTATTGGTTCCGAATTATACGCCGAGTTTTGAAAAGCTGTCAAAATAGGGAACCAATTTCGTGACAAATTTACTTTCGACCTCCGGTGACGTCAGTGATTACCTGATCCAAAAATGACCTATACAAACTACGAATCTGAAAGATTGTATACCGAGCTATCTATTCAGTATTGCTTTTTTAATCTTTCTAGCTTTTTTGCTTTCCGATATAACCTGGTATGGCCAAATACCAGGCTTCCCCCAATAACCCCCAATGCCCCCAAACCAAACAAAGTGGCCAAACAATACCCCCCCCCCCCATCATGGCGAAGTCGGCTGAGAGGTCCACCCGGGCGCGGGTTAACCCGCGAGTTGCTGGGGGGGGGGGGCGTTAAACGCCCCCACTTTTTTCGCCGGGCTATAGCATAAAAACGGCGCGCCGCGGGCGCACCAAATTTTGGGTACCTGTAGGGAATTGATTTAAGTTTATTGTGACAAAGTTTAAAAAAATTCAGTCGGAAATTTTTTGAGATATCGAGGTTTTAGTGACGTCATGATTTCTGAGTTTTCGACCAAAAACGGCATATGTTCAAAAAATAGTATAAATCGCAGAATAGACATACAGACATGCCGTAAACGCCATTAGACTGCCAATACCATGAACAATCAAAAAGCTATCTTCGATTATTGATTATCGTTCCGTATTTTCCAAAAGCTTGAACTGAATCTTGGGAATTTCTCGTGACTACTTCACGACCATGATACATGCATTTCTTAAATTGAACTTTTTGAGCCAAACACGTACACATATGATAAAATGAATGTCACCATCGTGTTCTACGCCCCAAATTACCCATGAAACATGTGTCACAGGCTGCGAATATCAGTTTTGCTTTTCGGGGATATGTGCTTACACGGTTGGCCTGATCTTGACCCTGACCTATGCTTGACTGACCCCTAAATGGAGCTGACACTCTTGTAGGCCTTATATGATGCACCGTTTTGACAGAGTTTATGACGAGAGGCGCCCATTGCGAGGTCCTGAAGTCCATGCTACTGAAAGCCCGATTTCAGGTGTTTGACCTGACCTTGACCCGACCTGTGACCTCAAAATTCAACTTTAAAGTACTCATCTGAAGCGTCTCGTCGCGTTCTTTCGTTTGCCGCCTCGTGCGTTTCGCTGCGCCTATTGGTTCTCGAGTTATCGGCTGGGGGCGTTTAACGCCCCCTCCCCCAGCAAACGGTGGTGGCGAAATACCCCAGCAACTGCCGGGTTAATAGATCGGAAATAAATGATGGATTGATTGATGGATTGATATCGTAACCATCCAAAGCGTGTCCCAAGAAATCAATCAAACACAAATCTGCAACAGCGCACTGAAAGACTAAATAAGACAGGCGTGCGTCGCGGTCCCGGAGTTGACAAATCCAAGCCTCTCAGGGCCCCTAACGACCAGCCTTGGCCACCCCTGTGGTTCCATGTGTAGTGGTGCCGTGTGCTCCCGTGGCACCCATGCGAAAATCTGGGTCACGTTTAGCGGCCCTATGACCTTGGCAATCACGGGGAGTTCACACTTCACGGGAAGAACGATCGTAAATATTTACTTCATACCTTCTCATACACGATGGAGAATATCTATAGTACAAATATTGAGGGTATAACTAAGGCGTGGATGAGCTAAAAATGAGAAATGGGAATGCCACTAAAAACTTAAAAAGGTGAAGAAATGAGAAGGTGGGGAGGGGACTTGGAGCTATGGAAAGTTTATTTGATTATTTCAAACGGTGAAATCATTGCAGTTTTATTAACATTTGAGTTGAATCATTATTGATTCAGATTAATGCCTGTACCTACCTAAAGAGAACGAATGGATGCTTGAATGGATGCTCTATTTACTCAGCATTCATAGGCAACGAATGCGTTTGTTAATGAAACGACAACCTACCAACTGCATATGCACCGGGGTACTTTGTATCTTCGTCTTTGGTACAATTTCGAGTCATAATTTTCATAGACTTGAAGTCCTGATATTTATGCAGTCATCGTCCTATACTCGTAAATATCAGTCGGTAGTCCACAGTAGCGGCGGAACACCTTCAATTAAGGGGGGGGGGGGGGCACTGCCGACTTTTGGTCCCATTCTTTCCATGCAACGGCCATAGGCCTAATGTTAAAATGCCAAAATCAAAGGGGGGCACGGTGCCCCGGTGCCCTCCCCGTTCCACCGCCTATGATAGTCCATAATATTTATAGCTTTACTAGCAACCGAAGCAGTTCAGGCTGCTTGCAGGGTCACTGGGAGAGGGCCATTTATGGCACTTTGCACACGACTGGATGATTAAAGATAGTTTTACATCGAGTGGTAGGCATTACAATAAATCGGCTATAAGATATGATTTTCGACCCCTTCAAAGTAAAACATTTGGCAACGACGTTTACGGGTCGCAGTTCGAAATAAGTGCATAGGAACTCGTTCTGGGCTGATCATAATTCACGCTAATGGACCTGCCCGGAAACCCCGGTGACTCACTAGGGTGCCTGCCCAGACCAATGTCTCCCCCTAATTCCTATCATCCTTCCGGCTCTGCAATGGTCTTGTCAGACCGAAAGGGCCTAACCCAACAAAACAAAACAAAACAAAAACTGCCCGGAAAGCTTGAGATGCACGTCAAACCTACCTCAACGCTATGCCAGTCTCCTCAACAGCCAGCCAGCCGCTGCCTGCCTGTCAAATCTCCCACCTGAACTGTTTCTAGCTGTTTGTCAAGGTCACCGCGTCAGTTACGGTCCGTCCGACCGTGTCAGCGCGGCCACGGCCCACCTTCGAGGCCAGTCGGGCCCCCGGGCGGCTCCGGCCGCTGCCGAGTCGGTCCCGCAACACCTACATACTAACACGGGCCGGCCCAGAGAAGGTCGGGCCGCCCCGCTGCGCCGCGCCGAGGCCGGTGGGCGGCGGGCGCCAGTAAGCGAGCCGCACGACGCACGGGCTGACCGGTCTGAGGGGGGCAGTGAGAAGCAGTGTGCGCGGTGCACCGATGTGAACTGGATACTACGCCGCAGAGGAGTCTGGAACAGGTGAGTGGCTCCATATCGCGGGCAGCGCAGAGACGGTGATCCGATGTTCATTTTGGAAACTGGAACTGGAAACTTGGAACTCATCCGATTCTGCTGATGAATGGGAGATGGAAGGGTGCCAGAGCAGCTGTGTTGTGTGCACTGTTGGGTTCACCCAAGCGTTGTTTAACTGTTTTAGCTTTTACTTTGAATGCTGAACACACCATCTTACGGCTTTTGCCCTTCATCGGTATCTCTCCACTAACGCACCAGATGTTGAAAATGTCCACCCTCGTCAATAGTTATTGGTATTTGACATTTGGTTTTCCAGATAAGTGAAGGGGTAAAATTATATCTGTCTGAAGTTCTTTTTTTTTTGTAATAAGCTCAATCAGATTCCAAAACAGCTGTTGGTATAATTATTGAAGAAAAAAGTCAAATGAAGTGCATCGCATCATCTGAATCTCTTGTACGGCCGATAACAATTCATCTCAAATATGCCTTCCGTAACGCTGATATATTTGGCGAATCTCGAAACTCGAAAGATAAATGCCTATAGCTTTTACCATATTACTTTCAAAACGTGTTCGAAGATATTATGTATGTTTTACGAATCACTTTCGAGCTGATTCTTGACTCACAAATTCGAGCTGTGCCGTACCTTCTAACGCTGGCTACATGAGGAGGATTCCAAAGAATCTCGTATGCTAGTGCCTTCTCAGTATTCAGTTGAGGTTTTCCCGTCATACACCACTAACATGCAAGATTCAGGCAAAAACAGGAAAAGGAAATCCCTCTCTACCAGGTTCTGTCTTGCATGATTCAGCGTTCATCCCGGCCCCGTATGCATAGTGCAAACGCGTCATTATGTCAAGGCCCTGCTCAGTGCTCAATGGAGCAAGGATGGCCGTCGACGAATCTCTCGCGTGATTTAGACCTGCTGCATGGGTGAAAGCTACTGACAATGGCAAATAACAGTACCGAAACTTTTTGTAGCTGCAGAGACGTTACCGTTCCACAAAAGAATGAGGTAAATGAGGTGTTTTCTACTTCACTTAATTATAGGTTCTCAGACAGTCGGTCCAAAACTTGGAACCAAATATAAGAAAGCTTCAGGCATATGACTTTACTAACGCATTTCCTTTGCCAGCACCTACCAAGCGGCAAAGGAATCCTTATCCCTCGCCCAGATGCGGGGGAGGGCGTTTTTGGCCACACCTACCAGTTTTTTGCGTGTGCGTCTGTAAAGAAAACCACGGAGGCCGGAGTGCAGCGCCGCGAGACTTAAATACAGCTTGATACATCAAGTCCGCATCGTGTGTGAAACTTTTTGACCCCAGGTCACATAGGGCCAGGTCATCAGGTCAAGTTAGATGACTACCTATGCCTCCAAAAATTTTCATTCTGTCATCCTACAGTTTATCTCCTAGAAGCTTGAAACTCAAAGAATTGTATCAAAGAAGAAGGACCAATAATAAACATATTTCGGAATTTTGATATCGTTGACCTAAGGTCAGGTCAATTTTGCGACCTATCCATTGTAAGTTAATAGGAGAAATTTGAACTGTCTTTCTTTTAGACAAAATTCGTTTTAAACACTATCAAACGCCGGGATACAGATAAACAAAATACACTAAATCGAAAAATTGCGCCCTTGTCCCCTTTTTACGTCCCTGAGGTCATCTCAGGTAAAAAAAGGTCTCCAACAGTTTTTCAACAACTTTGGATAAAGACGTGTTATAACAATGAAAACACCTTAGATGCGTTGAGCTCAACGCAAGGAATCGACTGATGTGCAGTTGACTTTTCCGTGACCTTGACCTGAAGTCAAATTTTGAAGTTGATCTTTTCAGGTCAACTTATACTTCATTCGACGCGCCTCAACGTCAGAAACGCGATATAGGTAAAATGAACGTAATGCAAACTTGAAACTTGGTGTCAAATGTTGTTGCAGAACAATATTTTCTTGAAAGGCTTCAAATTTTGAGTTTTTGCTCTCTGGTAGCTAAGCCGTTGATCCTAGATCAAATCCATAAACAAAAGTAATAATCAGAAGGAGCCTTGAAAGAGCTATAAAATGCGCCTTTCCGAGGCGCAGTAGCTTTACTCCTTCCTGAGTTATGCGCCGATGTGTAACGAGTTGACATGATCGGGAATGAATTCTTTCGTAATAGTTTTACTTTTGATGACTTCCAATGACCTCAGCGATGAGTTGATAAAAAATGACCATCTCGATTTTAAAAGATCTTATAGCGAGCTATCTATTGCTTTTCTGCGTCTTTCCGAACTTCTTAGTTTCCGAGGTAACCGGGTGTAGCAAATGAGGCCCCCACCTCATCCTGGCGAAGTTGGCTGAGACCCTCATCCATCCACGCAAAGGCCATCATTTCATGAACAATAACTCAACGGACGCACTAACAAACTCAGAATGAGCTTCCGATTCCAACGATGCTCTACACTTATGACCTTTCTCGACCACCTTCCTAACCTGACCGACTTCGACCTGACCTTGACCTGAAGATCAAGGCCACATTGATCTTTTCCAAACAAGAAGCACGTCATTCGACGCCATTGAGTTTGTGAAACACGAATAGCTCTTGCGACTATTTATGCTTAAATTATTCATTAAAAACTGCATCTCCACTTTAGGGTCGCATCAAGTCGTAAGTGCACTGTAAGTCGCATTGTTGCTCGGCTAGCGCATTTAATGAACTAGACGGCCGTGTTTCCCAGTCAACGGCCTCGGTTAAGGAACGTCTCTGTTTAAGTTCGGAAAAGCTGTCGTCATTCACAGGAGTCGAAAACGCCACCGTCCTACTAGTGACATTACCACATGCGGGTTAATAAAAGTGAAGAAACGAATGGACGTCTCGAGTCCCGAGCCCCACGGGCCGGCTGGATTGTGAAATCCGTCCCACCCCTGTAACGCAGCTAGGCGCAGCAGCGACCAAGGAACCCGACAGTGACTGCTAATGGACTATGGAGAGCCACAAAAAAGCGGTCTAGGCCCCTAACCAGGTTAAGTATGCGCAGTGCAGTGTTGACTCAGGTTAGAATACCAACTGAGCATCAGATTCTAGGAAAACACCGGACCACAGGTGACCAGGGATCACCTGTGGACCACCAGACCGCCTGTGTGACAGCCAGCACTCCTAGCTCCGAGACGAACGACGAGAAGTTCGGGTTGGCCCAGTTGCGGCGGAACACCTTCAATTAAGGGGGCACTGACGACCTTAGGTCCCATTCTTTCCATGCAGCGCCCATAGGGCTAATGTTAAAATGCCCAAATCAAAGGGGGGCACGGTGCCCCGGTGCCCTGCCCGTTCTGCCGCCTATGGGTGAGCCATTCCCTGACGCAAAATGAACGGTCCACTAAGAATCATAAGACAGTTGGCCAAATTTACAGCCCTCTCCTGAGTCTCCAGTCTCCTCCACTTCTCTCTCAAACGTGATTTGAGTAGCCGTTGCCCGTTAATTAACTGACTTAAACGACAATAATCTTCCTTCGTTGAAGTAGGGATAGATCGGCAATTCTCATTTTTTATCTATATTGTAATACCGTATTGGCTAATTCGAACACGTTGCTGAAAATTGGAGCATTGTTCAGTGGCGGCGGAAGGTATTCTAGGATAGGGGTGCAATCGATATTGAAGCGCCCCTTCCCGCTGGGCGCCCCTTACCATATACACGGTTGTAGTAACACAAACAGTGAAGAGACGTTTAATACGCCCTAGCACTAGGGGTGTAACCGCCCATACGGACAGTGCAATTTTACAGGCCCCAATCTCGGACCTCCCTTAACATTCATATGTTGTAAACGGCAAACCGCCCCCGATAAATGTTACACAAACTAATTTCCTCTCGCATATCGGCCATCAGGCCGATATGCGGCCATCAGGCCCCTTTTTGTCGCATGGAGCCTACAACGCTATAAGCCCTCATATGTTCGTGTTGGCGTTCGGAGGCTATCGCCTTCAAAGACGTCTCCATAAATGTTTCTTTTTCGTCCCACACACAGGCGCCCCTCTTTCGCATGCAGGCGCCCCTCTTCCGCATGGCGCGCTTCTCGAGTGGCCGCGCCCTCCTAGCCTTTATCGCCTGGCAAGATTATATTCGACAGGGTCGGCAGCATCTGCCTTTGTTTCAGATAAGGATGCCCTCCACTCTTCAGCATATCAAAAGATACTTTTCCCACGTCATTGCCACCCTCTTCGTGTCACAAGTGCCTTTATCAGTTGCGGTGTCGCACTGCTCAGCTTTATGGCTGCCGCACCTCTTAACCGTTCCTGCCTCCTCTACAGATTTTCGAGGCGCCCCTTTCCATAGCTTTAGGGTGCAGCTGCCCCCCTTGCCCCCCTGCTTCCGCCGCCACTGGCATTGTTCTATCTTTTTTCAGTGAGGACTGCCCTCCAGAACACCCATCTTCACCGCTCGGCCCAAAGCCGGAACATCCGATTCTTCAGCCACCAGTCTCAAGACAACCACGGCGATGTCGTCAGCCTCAGAGTTCGGCACCGTCAATTTTGTAGTGATGGCTCTGTTTGTGGCCGCCACGCTGGCTATCGGCGTGTTCTACGGTCTGCGTGGACAAGACGCACAGGGACTGCTCATCTCACGCGACATGAGAGTCGCTCCCGTGGCCCTGTCAATCATGGCCACTTTTCTGTCGGCCATTTTAATTGTTGGTAAGTGTGTGAGACGTTACCTATTTTATGCAGTACTTTTTGGGGCGTATACCTTCACGCCGACACACTATCCAATATGCGATGAGGACAGGCTCCACGGCACACTTTTTCGGTTTGTCATTTCGTTTTTTTTTCTCGCTTTTTCTGCTTCTATAGACTATCAGCTTCACTTGATAACATCGTTGTAGCTCCACGGCATCGAAGCCGAAAAAGCGAGAATACTCGAATGACGCGGAGAAACGTGATCTGTATGCGCTGTAAAGATTGCCATTTCTAATTTGTCGCGATCCTATTTTGAATTTTCCATATTTTCGTGCTATTGTTGTGGGTAAAGAACTAAGAAAACATCTATTTTTCACAAGTCCTAGAGATCGTTCAATCCTTAACTTGCAATGACCTCTGACAGAGCTCATGTGACCCTCAGGGACGCCGTCGGAGGTGTTTTATTTCGGTCTGGAGTGGTACGTGTGCGCCGTCACGTTCCCTCTGGCCTGTATCATCAGTGCTGCGCTGTTCCTGCCCGTCTTCCACCGGCTAGGCCTGACCAGCGTGTACGAGGTAGGCGGTCGATGGGATATGGGCTGGATGTGTGGTTGACAGTCAGGTGTGAAACGTTAAACTTCTACGTGATACGTCTTCCGAAGTCACTTGTTAGCCTTTGGAACGGACTACAGCCTTGTATGCAGTCCCTTGTTTCGAATAAGCTACCAAAGCTGCTCGTAGAAACGCAGCTGAACAACACAACTCCGGCTGAAATCATGTAGATCTAGATGTCTTATACCGACTTAAACTGATAAAGAAAGCGTGTACTTTAAACTACAGAGTAGGTTGTGGGGGGAGGGGGATCGTGAACAGGAGATTAGTGGCGCTATAGTGGTCACATCAGTACGTCATCTGAGCCTCACTCCTGCATCCGGCTTACGTTTTTGCTTACGACATGAACAGCGGTGTGTGCTTCGGCGTAAGCTGGTTCAAAGTTTTCTAATGACTGTGTCAACTGTCACTTTTAAATTACCTATGGAGATTTACTCCGGTTATTATTTATGGAGCCGCCGTAGGTCGGGCCAATAACACGATAACTTTCGTTGTGTGTACACTGTGCAGTGTATAGTCGTCTACAGAATGATGTTCCACTTTTCACAGGGCAATTATTTGCCTGGAGTAGTAGGCTGTGCCGCAACACACGGGCTGCGTTCACAAATTATAGCTTTGTCCCAATGCTCACAATTAATTGCGTGATAAACGGCACAACTTAGCGCTCCGGTCAACTGATAGCTTCTGAGGAGTGGAACATCATTCTGTAGTCGACTTATACTTACAGACAAAGTGGACGTTGACGTTCGCCGGCGAGTTAACTAATGCAGCAGAGAAGCTGCAGCCAGTTGAAAAAGCCTCACCGTTTCAACTTGTGTTAGGCATGCATCACTGCAAGTGGAGTCAACAGCGCTCCCGTCGCACATATGACATAAGGAAAAACGAAGAAAGGTGCCCACTCATACATTGCGAATGTCTATTACATTGTTTCGGCGCTCGTCGCCCACTATTGAAAACGGTTGATTTTTATAACGTTTAATAAATACGCTTTAGGAAAGGTATCGAGTTAAATATCTTGCCGAATGAAATAGCGAAATAAATTGCAGTTATTTCAGCACACTTTTCAAACTTAATATGAACAAAGTGTTGCCAAGTTGTCCATTCTTGTGCTACTTACATTCAAACCACAGACGACCCACGCATTATTCGATCGCTGACCTTCCTCTGACTACTGTTTTACAGTACCTGGGCCTGAGGTACGACTCCAGCCTGGCAAAGGTGATCGGGACGAGTGCGTTCATGACACAGAACCTGCTGTACACCGGTATCGCGCTGTACGCACCCTCGATCGTGCTCAGCAATGTCACTGGTATGCCCGACTGGGCAGCCATTGTGCTGGTGGCCTTCCTCGGCACATCTTATACTGCGTTTGTAAGTGGGATGGAACGCATGTCGCGACGGTGTCAATCTGGTGGAGAATATCTGGTAGCTTTTCTCACGATGTTTTGGGGAAGTGTTTGTGCAAATGAACATCGTCAATAACCTATGCAATGCAGAATGGGAACACAAAGACGGAATGGGGTGCTATTATATCTTGTTGTGCTTGTGGACAACTGTGTAGACTGTAGGTCACGCAGAATACTTTTCAAGCATTTAAGTCATAGCGAAATAAGTAGCTCCAGTTTATGATAAGTGGACAATCCCAAACACCGTGAATGGACCTGCGGCCCTCACAGGCCATGTGAACGCACGCAGATGTGCTACATCCCATCGTGTCTTGCCATTGTGTCCATTGTGTTCTTGCACATCCACGATGTGCGACTAGAAGTTGCGATGTGATTGAAGAAGTCACGGTATGCTCCAGGGGTCATGATGTGCTCCAGGTCACACTGTGTATCACGTAGTCTGTTGTCACGATGCTCCACGTGTTCCCGGGCGCCCACACCGTCATTTAGGCAGACGTGGTGGAAGGAGCTAGGTACATTTTATTATCTAGTCGGTTACATTGTGCTCACGCTGTGCTCGCTGTGCTCCAGGGCGGTTTCCGCGCCGTCATCTGGGCGGACGTGCTGCAGGCGGGCGTCATGGTGGCCGGCGTGCTCGCCATCATCATACAGGGCTGCATTAACGTGGGCGGCTTCTCCGAGATGCTGGACGTCAACCGGCTGCACGGGAGGCTGACGCTGTTCACGTGAGAATATCTGCGTCTTGTGGCAGCTTTGGTAGTAGAGAGGTCGCATATTCCCAACAGTGCTATTCGACGTAAACAATTGTTGTGTGTGCCAGAAAGGGTGCATTTTTCGTAGGGTTTCCTCGATATGCTCATTTCTTGGCACGTGTATTATACTTACACGTGCGAATAAGACAGACTTGCTGTATGGCTGTGGCAGTAGATACGTGCCGTAGCTGGCGTAGCAGCTTCATTGAAAGCCCGTCGGCCGTCACATAACCAGATTAATCAATGAACCAGTTTGCAGCTGTTAAAATACACACATACCAGCGCTACTTACACGCGCCTATAATGCTCGCAAGTTGCACAGCGTCTGTTTTATGTCACTCTGACCCATAAGCTCTTCTGCGACAGCTGGGACTTTGACCCGCTGCAGCGTCACAACTTCTGGAACATCTTCTTCGGCCAGCTGTTCATGTGGACTTCCCTGCTGGGGGTGAACCAGCCGGCAGTCCAGAGACTTCTCAGCTTGCCCACGTACAGAAAGGCCGCCATGTAAGGATTCCATATACCTAACGCTGAGTCAAAACTCTGTTAAGTAACTTCGCGATGAATTATCCTAACATTAACGGTTAACGGTTTTCACCGTAATCGGAACGAGTGCAATTAGGCTTTTCAGTATAACCCGCGCCCTGCTGGGGGGGGGGGGGTGTTTGAACACCCCCCTTTGTGGTTTTTCGCGAATATCTCAAAAACGGCAGCGCTCCGCGCCGCCGTTTTTGGTACACCTTATCATACATCAATTCTACACATGTTGTGAAAATTTCAGACCAAGGTCATTCAAGGTCAGGTCACCAGGTCACTTGAAGTGACCTCACCTCATAAAAGTTTCAATGTCTGTCATAGCTACACCGAGTGACCGATCGCTTTGAAATTTTCAGCGATTGCTAAGAGCAATAGCATGTACAAAATGAATATCTCAGAATTTTGATATCGATGACCTAAGGTCAGGTCAATTTTGCGACCTCCCCATTATAAGTCAATGGGAGAAAATTGAAATGCGCCTCTTTTGGACGAAAGACATTATAAACACTCCCAAACACCGAATTACAAGTGTTTTAGACACACTGAAAATGAAAATGGTGTCCGTGACCCTGAGGTCATCTTAGGTCACGAATGGTATCTAACAGTTTTTCGCAAATAACTTTTGATAGAGGCATACTAGAGCGATGAAAACGCCTTAGATGTGTTCAGCTCGACGATACGGATCGACTGATATGCAACATGACCTTTTCCGATCAGGTCATGACCTTGACCTGAGGTCAAATTTTCAAGTTGACCTTTCAAGGTCAAGTTATAGTTCATTCGATGCGTCTTGACGAGAGGAACACGATGCCGGTGAAAGTAAGCTCGTACAAGGCTTGGGTCAAAAGTTATTGCAGAAAAACTGTTTCCGAAAAAATCGGCTATTTTTGCAGTTTTTGCCCCCTGCAGGCAAAACCGTTGACGTTAGGTCAAATCTGAGAGAATTACTAGGGCTATCGAATGCGCTTTTCCGCGGCGCAGTATCTACATTGGTCCCCGAGTTATGCGTTGGCTTCTTGGAAATTTTCGACATTCGACCTGGAAATCGGCGAAATTTTGCCTTCAATGACCTCTGGTGACCTGACCTTTGACCTGACCAAAAAATTGACCGAAGTGATTTCGTCATTATTTTTGACGCTCTTTCGAACGCCGCCTTCCGCGTATCGCTACGTGGCCCAGGAGCCGAGTTACACGGGGGTGTGTGTGTTCAAACACCCCCCCCCCCCCAGCAGGGCGTGGAAATCCATGACCCCCAGCCGGGCGCGGAATAACGCAGCGTAACAATCGTGCAATCAGCAAATGTTTTGAGATTATTTTTCCATGGCAATTGGAAGTGACGTCTAATTTGAGCTTTTACCTCACCAACGCTTAGCCACTGATAAGGCAGATCACAACCACCTTTGCCTATCTGCCAATTTAGACAATACGTTAGGATTCCTGACACAAGCTGTAGCACATATAACCATTTGTTAACCAGTCCCGAGCAAATATTTGGACAAGCAGACATTTCTCAACTATTACACTCCACCTCTCTAGCCCCTGCATCCTGTTTTTAATCCCCAGGACCAGTGTGTTCGGTGGCCTGATGATGTTCATCATGACCACGCTGGCCGTTCTCGCCGGCCTGGCCATCTTCGCCACGTACTCGTCCTGCGACCCACTGCGGGCCGGCGTGACGAGCCGCCGCGACGAGCTGGTGCCGCACTTTGTGGCCGACCAGCTGGGCCACGTGCCCGGCCTGGGCGGCCTGTTCATCGCCTGCGTGCTCAGCGGCGCGCTCAGCACCATCTCGTCGTCACTCAACTCGCTGGCGGCCGTCACCTGGGAGGATTTCTTCAGGGACAGCGCGTGTATTGTTGGGCTGTCAGAGGCGGGACGGCGCTGGGCCGTCAGGGCTATAGGTCAGTGGTGGACACCTCTACCAGTCTCTGGATATCTCATTCAGTCATTCATTCATTCATTCAATCAATATCAATGCGTTAATTATTTAATTCATTAGCATTCATTCATTCATTCATTCATTCATTCATTCATTCATTCATTCATTCATTCATTCATTCATTCATTCATTCATTCATTCATTCATTCATTCATTCATTCATTCATTCATTCACTCACTTATTCATTCATTCATTCATTCATTCATTCATTCATTCATTCATTATCCTTAGTTTTCTGCTCGGGGCTGGATCAGTAGCGCTATCTTGCATGTTTCTCGATTCCGATGGATTGCCTCTCGCATGGCATACCCTTGACTTTCATTATCCTTCCAGTCGCCTTGTACGACGAGGTTCTTACCCTCCCCATTGCTTTCCAGCGCTCGTGTACGGCATAGCCTCAATGCTGATGGCATTCCTAGCCAAGAACATGGGCGGCGTACTTCAGATTGCTATTGGCGTCTATGGTGGCTGCACGGGGCCCGTGCTGGCAATCTTCATACTCGCATTGTTTGTGCCCTTCTCCAACCCGAAGGTAGGCTAGAAGAACGCACATTCCAATTTTTAACTTCTGTTGAGGGGAGAGAGTTTGTTATTTGTGGTTGGCGTAGTCGGCTCACATTTGCTAAGTACTCGTACGTGCATATTGATACTTTTTAATAAAGAAGTCGATTTACCGACTCGTACAGCAACCACGCCCGTTCACTCCAGGATTAGGTCTCGACAGGACGAACTGACCGTCCTGTCTGACAGCCCTCGGTAATCTTCCTGACCGACCCCGCTCCACACCACCACAGGGTCTGACAGTAGGACTTCTAGTGGGCCTGGCTCTGGCCCTCTCAGCCTCGTTTGGAGCCTCGTTCGGCGGTGCTGCTCCTCCGGCCATGCTTCCCACGGAGGTGGACGGCTGTGGCTTCAACGTCACGGTCCCAGAGAGTGCCAACGTCGCCGACAGCGCAGCAGAAAAGTAAGTGGCCGACCTCTTGCAGATGGGAAATATTGTTGGTGAATGTTGTCGAGGTGTAAAACATTTATTTACTTTTTGTCAGCAATTGTTTTTACTTTTTATGGGTAAAAGGTTGAAAATTACCATGAAGTGCACATCAGGTTCATATTTGTAATGCTGCTTTTGCTTCTTTCAGGGTTGTGAGAAACAAGTTTTTCAGCATATCGTACATGCTGTACTCTGTCCTGGGCTTTGTCGGGACATTTGTGATCGGCATCATTGTGTCACTTGTGACAGGTAAGTGACCAAACGACTTCCCAACAAATTTATACCAAAATATATTTTCGGATTGATTATCAATAGTGAAAATATTACGCGCTTGTTTTATGATGCATTTACCTATAATTTATTGTGTGAAAATCATATATGTATGTACATTGTACATTGCACACAGATAACGTTTCATGTCAGACCCAAGATTACTAGAACATAGTCAGACCCAGGCAAGGAAGACATCTGATGATATATTATGAACCGTGGTATGGATATAACGTCTGGGAAGTTCCGTTAAAAAACAACGTTAAAAGGGACGACGCGGTAAAGAATCATCTGAATAAATTGTATGGGCAATGACGAAAATTTACTCTAGCTATTTATACCAATTCACGTTATATAGGTTTTGATATAGCGCATATGAGTCGTCTGTTTTTCAGGTGGCAGCAATATTGAAGTGAATCCCGAAATGCTCAGCCCCGCTATGTCGTGTTTCGCTCAGAAGGCAAAGTTCCGACTGCCTCACAGCAACGGAGCTTCCAACAACGCCTTCGAAATGGAGAAGAAGTAGTGAGTGTGGAACGGTTGTGTTTTATACATATGTTTGTATATGTCGCACGGGTGGTGCATTCCTCGAGGCTCGAACTGTTGTCCGGAGCCGATGACACTTGCCAGGGACCACACTATAGGTCTGTTTTATACCAGTACATCTACAGAGACAACATCCGAGAGTTGCGCATGAAAACAAACTATTTAGCTTTGTAACACAGTGTTGTATTTTTATACATGCATACATGACCCGTACAACATTCATAAAAAAATATCATCTCGCTCAAATGGTAGAATCAAGGTAATATATGGAAAAGAAAAAATATGGCATGTAGATCCAGAATCGTAGGTAGAGCTGACGTGACCTGCTCCCGTGTGTTGTGAAGTGAAGATCTGTCCATTTTCTAGAGGTGAATACCGTTCAGAGACATGTATCATTATTACATAACGGTAAAAAAAACTACAGGTCAGTTCAACAGGCAGCTATGCTATCGAGTCAACTATCCCGCAAGCCTTATATGGAAGTCTCAGACAGTGGCGGATCCAGGATTTTCACTGGGGAGGGGCTGCAGGTCATAATTGGGCGCCACGCCCCGGATGGGCGCCATAGTCGCATCGTATTGGCGCTGAAATATTGGCGCCCAGTGGCCCTGACAAGAGGCGCCCAGGATCAGTATGTACAGTGACACCACACGATTGGAAATATCGATGCGGAGCGTACTGAAACGACGTTATTCGACTGATTTTTGCATCCTAGTCCTAGTATGCGGCACTCCGATGAGTTGCGTATTGAAAATTGGCGCCACTGCGCCTTCGGCGCAGTGGCGCCAGTTTTCCTTGGGTGGGGGCTGCCAGCCCCCGCAGCCCCCCCTGGATCCGCCACTGGTCTCAGATCATCACGACACTCGCATCTCACATCTATGAATAAAACAATATTAGAGCAAAGTTTTTTTTTTTAATGCATGTAAAACGCTATAAAACAGCTAACTATGTGTCTGGTAGCGGGGTAGGCTGTGGCATATGACCTACAAAACTTTGTTTTTGGACTTTGCGCCGGGAGTCGGGACCCTATAGCATCCGAGGAATAACTACTTCATAAATCACGGTAACATAAACACAATGCAATGCTTGCTTATCTGCACATTTAAGGCATTATTATGGCCTGTACCACACACTTTCGAATCTACCTCTGCCGAGCAATGTACAATAAACGTGCATCTAAAGCACTTTAGGTAGATTTACGAAATACGTAACGAGTGACCTGGCATGCACGCTACAAAAATACTGTGGGAACGTTAGTTACGTTTTGCCCCCCCCCCCCCCCCCCCAGAGTCGCATGATATTTACATGAAACATATCCAATGAAAAAATTAGTGCTTTTCGCCCATTTCATATGCATCGTTTGCAGCTCCGTTTGTGTTTGACGGATGGAATTTCTTCTTTCGTGAGTGCCATGACATGGCGGGACTCAGGTACTCTTCGTCGACACTGCCCTGTCCTCCACCTGAAATATGACACATATTCATTAGGGGTCTTCAAACTGCGCGAACTTTCAATGAAAGCCTTAACAGTTTCGTATTTATCCGTAAGCTCGACAGGGTCCGTTAGGTGCACCCCGGATGCGGCTCGACCGCTGTATCTTGCAGGGACACATCGTCCAAGTATGCTTCTGTCACTGTAAAATAGTTGGACACAATAGACTTATAGGCACAATGCGTTCTCGCTCAATTCGCTCAAGCAGCTGCAAAATGGTTGACCAGTATCGTAAAAGGGCGTTGAGCTGCGTAAGGCTAGCGTCAATTTTCGTGGGACGATTCGCGACTATCTCGTCTCACTCGGTTCATTTCTTGTGAAGCGTTATACTCACCTGTCAAAAGAGACACTAGGATTCCTGTCACCATTGTTGCCACAAAGCCGATCACTGCGTAGAGCATGTAGGAAATGCTGTAGAGCGTATCGAATGTTCCTCTGTAAAACATTATCATTTTATTACTTCCACCAAGCACGGGTTTATACATAAAGCATGATTCGAAATGGATGATATATTTACTATATGGATGATATATTTACTTCTACAGGCATCGGAGCATGCCATTCTATGCACTGAGTTCTTATAAGTTATACTGTAAATGACTCCTTCGAAATATTACGATGATTTGGAATGTCAAATGTACCTATCTGAAAGCCATGGCTTGGGGATCAGCTCAAACCGTTCAATTTCGCTAAATTTACCAGTAAAACTGCCAAACTGTATTCCTGCCGCTCAAGGCCCTATACACCCTGCCGCTCACTTATTAGAAGAGCGTTGAGCCCGTTAAATGGGTTCACTAATGAAGCTTACGTGCACTACAGGCGTTAGGTCTCATCTATCAGCTCGCACCACACTCCCCGCTCTTACCTTTCGCGCGTTTCCACGGCGTCATCAGTGACGTTGGCAGCGCTGGTGACGTTGAAGCTGCATCCGTCGGCGCTGGAGGGCAGCATGACAGGTGGCGCCGCCCCGCTGAACGATGCACCGAATGAGATCCAGAGGGAGAGAGCCAGGCCCAGAACCAGACCCGTGGTCACACCCTGCAGGCAGGCCGAAGGGCAAAGTCAGCACCGCTACAGTCAACGGTATATTAGTTCATAAAAGGACCAACGAATTATCGGTTATCGCCGATCAAAATTTTTTAGAGAAGACATCACTTAATCTCTCCCTCTCTCTCTCTCTCTCTCTCTCTCTCTCTCTCTCTCTCTCTCTCTCTCTCTCTCTCTCTCTCTCTCTCTCTCTCTCTCTCTCTCTCTCTCTCTCTCTCTCTCTCTCTCTCTCTCCTTCCCCCTCTCTCTCTCTCTCTCTCTCACCTTGGGGTTAGTGAAGGGCATGAACAGCCCCATGACGAACATGGCCAGAATGGGCCCGGTGCAGCCACCGTATACGCCCGTGGCCACCTGAATCACGCCGCCCATGTTCTTGGCCACAAACGCCATCAGCATCGAGATGATGCCGTAGACGAGGGCTGCCGGGCGAAAAAAAAATTGAGAGGCAAGTTTAGTAGACGTACAGTCCACAACAGAAGCAATGTGTGGTTTCAGTCATGGGTATGTTCTGCTTCTGAAGCCTAGGAACGATTAGCCAGACTGCAACGAGACTTTAAGTGTAGCTTACATGTATCTTCACCCTTGCAGCTACAACTTTATCTATTGACGTCTTCTTTTCAATCAGTCCGCATTTAAAAATCGTCGGTCAAAGCCATCCGTTGAGATTGGTAAAACCACACATTACTTTAGCGGTGGGCTGTACACCAGCGCAGCCAGTCAGACATAGGGGGTATCTCAGTGTGCATTTAGTCAACGTACACGAGAGCTGCCTTGCAGACGTCGGGGAGCTTTGAGAGGTGCGTTAAGTCACCTTATACCATCGCTGTCGATCAGACGTCGAGGGCATTGACTAGTACGCATTCACATTTAGTGATCGATTTAGAGCGCTACTTGTCACAGCTAACTAGACTGCTATTGAGCACCTCAAACGTTACTGAAAAATTGTTATGAGCTTTCGACTCTCCTTGCAGTCTATCCTATACCCCTTAGGAGCTGTGCATAATGCACCTCACTGGATCTACATACTTATGCCTCCGAGGCAGTCCAGAACCCGACTGACCTATGCCTCGGAGCACCCATCGCCGTCCCGCCTCTGACAGCCTCGCAGTCCAGGTGCTGTCCCTGAAGAAATCCTCCCAGGTGACGGCCGCCAGCGAGTTGAGTGACGACGAGATGGTGCTGAGCGCGCCGCTGAGCACGCAGGCGATGAACAGGCCGCCCAGGCCGGGCACGTGGCCCAGCTGGTCGGCCACAAAGTGCGGCACCAGCTCGTCGCGGCGGCTCGTCACGCCGGCCCGCAGCGGGTCGCAGGTCGAGTACGTGGCGAAGATGGCCAGTCCGGAGACGGTGGAGAGGGAGACCATGATGACGATCAGAAAACTGCTGATCAGGCTGGTGCTGTGGACAAGGGAAGGCAGAGATGACTAAATGTGGCGTACAACGCTTTACGAGCGCCGTATATCTATCGGATATACGAGCGCCGTATATGTATCCGCTCGTATATCAAGCGCCGAGACGACTAGAGGCTTAACCAGTTCAGTGCTTTACTCCCTGAGCAAAGAGGCCGGAACGAACCGACTTCATCGGACAAAATGCTGAGGGGCAATGCAATTGCTGAGAGCTTAAAACATCACTAAAGTGAGCGAGCTGGCGTTACTGAGCTAAAAGATGACAGTTCCACGTGATTATACGAGCCTCAACTCGTGGTTCTGGCTGTTTGAGAGTGAGACACAACGGACACAACTCACAGCGTCGCCTGTTTGAGAGTGGGCAGGCTGAGCAGCCTCTGAACAGCCGGCTGGTTCACTCCGAGCAGGGAAATCCACACGAAGATCTGGCCGAAGAATGTGTTCCAGAAGTTGTACCGCTGAAGAGGGTCGATGTCCCAGCTGTGGGCAAAAGTGAAGAGCTATACATAGAGCGTAATCGCCACGCCATATGTGGAAGGCTTTTGATGTCAATACATACATACAGACATACATAGTGGCAAACTCCTGTTGAAATATAATAACTCAAGACAGTAAAGGTTTGCGACTGAAGCTTTGTTATCTATGTATAAAGCGCCCGTTCATGCAATTTGACAGTTAAGCCTATGGGTGACGATTTACTTCACTATATAGTTGGTTTACTTAGCTAATTACTCAACATGTTATTCATTATTGTGACGAGGATATCCTCACGTGAACATTGTCAGCCTTCCGTGCTTCCGGTTGACGTCCAACATCTCTGAGAAGCCGCCCACGTTGATGCAGCCCTGTACGATGATGGCGGTGACGCCACAGACCATGACGCACGCCTGCAGCACGTCCGCCCACACCACGGCCTTGTAGCCACCCTGAGGACGTCACAGGCGGGCTGGTCGGTAGGACATTGGCTCATCAATAAAATGTAGTCCAGGCTGACAACCGAACGCAGCACCGTCCAGCAATGTGGGGATGTGTAGGTAATTCATGATTCCCTATCCACACAAATATTCACAAATGAGCGTTAACGTAAAATGTAGGTATCTAAATGCACAAACATACACAGCACAGTTAGGTTAAATCTTTTATATCAAAACGTCATCATAAGTCATGCCCTTATCTGAAATACGTGTCTGCATAGTGGGAAATTTGCAGTTGTACCGATTCATTGTCGTAGAACATCAAAGGCTTAATTCAGTCTCGGACCCAAATTTCACACAGCTGACCAAATAGGACATCACATTCCACCGAGATCGTACTAGGCCCGGTTCGAACAGGCGCCAGCCGGACTGTTAGCCCACGTTCCTGAGCGAATCAGAGATTACATGGGAGCCGTGACCACCGTTTAGCCGTCCGTTCAGAACGTGACTTCCAGTCGGTTCCTTCAGGTCACGTTCGTTGTTTCGTGACGATAACGCCGTTTCGTCATCCATTCGACGTGTTTCATTGCTTCAGAGTTGATTCTCACCGCAAAACTATTTTTAGAGTAAACGGTATATTTTTTACTCATTTGAAGATTGTAGAATACGTGATATGAGTACGCTCGACTGCCGCAGCAGATTGCCGTTGATTTTTTTTCATACCAATTATCCGAATACTTCAGTCACAGCCCGCATAAACTAAGAATATGCCACAATGCTGACTATACCTACGGTAGATTTTATCAATTTGTTAACTATTCTCTGTCAATCCTTCAAATTACACAAAACCACCCTGCAAACCACTCACGAATGCGGTGTAGGATGTGCCGAGCAGGGCCACCAGCACAATGGCCGCCCAGATGGGCATGCCGGTCACATTGCTGAGCACGATGGTGGGCGCGAACAGGGCGATACCCGTGTACAGCAGGTTCTGCATCATGAACGCCACCGTTCCGACCATCGTCATGACGCGCGTGTTGTACCGCTTCCCCAGGTACTGAAACGGGGGAGGGGGGGGGAGATCAGAGTCGCGGGTGCTTAGACACAATCATCTAAGACACTGGGGGGGGGGGGGCAGAGTCTCGGGTGCCATAGGGGCTTTAGACACAAGCATCAATGAAGTGGGAGGGGGAGGGAGGAGGCCATAGCTTTCCTGCATCGCTTTCCATAGTTAGACAGCCATAGCAAAAGGTATGGTCGATGGATTTCTTACTTGCTCATTTAACATTACATTGCATCGTCGGGAGAGATGTTTAATTAACAGGCCCGCCTGCGTACTTACATCAAACAACCACGGGCACGGACATTTCATCATGGTGATTTTGCAATACCTATAGTCTATACATACGAGTATAAGCGTTTGTTTTCACAGGACTATCATCGAACCAAGCACGATTCGCAAAGGGCAGTGGTCACTCGTCACTTGAGGGACATAATCCAGACATGTGGCCAGAGGTGACAAAGAAAATAAACGCTATGTGGACATATGCACGGCATCACGTAAAACGATAATCATCAACTAGGCCGGCAAAGATTACTGCGTCAGCACGCAGCATTGAATGAGCACCGTACTCATTCATTCGTCATGATTGTTGTATCGGGATACTTCGTTGATTTTAATATTCAACACTAAACAAAAATCACTGGGTCCCAAGCCAACTGTTTGTATCATCCTGTGTAATAATTAAAGGTGTAAAGTAATTATTGTAAATATGGATAAATAATTAAAACCTAAATAAACTAATTAAAACATAACACTTATCTTACTTTCGAAATGTATAAATCTTTTCGCTGATGATATATCTACTGTCACTTGTGCACAGACCTCGTAGACACTGGTGGGCCACAGTCGGTAAAAGATTGTCGAATTATAGGCTCATAAAGTGTGTACGTACCTCGTAGACGCTAGTGAGCTCCATTCGGTAGAAGACGGGCAGGATGAACACGCTGATGATGATGCTGGCCACGGGAAACGTCAGAACCACCACGAACCACTGCATGCCGAAGTAGAAAATCTCCGACGGCGTACCTGACAAGGTTCACGCACATTTATTCACCGGCGATTTTTTTCAGTTATAGTGCGCATCTATTTTACAATGCATAAGCATGCAGTTGCGAGTTTAGCATTGTGATTGTGGGAACAATAAAGTACCTACTTTTATATATATATTGAGACGGGTTACACAGCACATTGGGTGGACGCGTTTCCTCTAAATGACTTTTTCGACACCCTCTCGGAAATTAAAACAATACAAACACCGAGAGGGTTGTCGAAACCCCCGACACCCTAATTTCCGAGAGGGTGTCGAAAAAGTCATTTAGACGAAACGCGTCCACCCAATATGCTGTGTAACCCGTCTCAATATATACGCCCGGTTATATATGACAAGATATAACCGGTTTTTCCGCGACACTACGAGCCGGAGCGTCTTCTCTGGGGCGGCCCCGGAGCCGGGCCGGCCTCTGCGAGCAGCGTTCGGCGGCAGGCGGGCGGCCGCCTGCGCCCCCGGGCGGCGAGGCCGCTAAGGCGGCGGCCTCCTCTGATTGGTGGAGCGACTCGTGTCACGTGACCGTGACGGCGCGGGGTTTGAGTGCATTTGCGCGGTCACTCTGTTCTAAGCCGCCTGGTCTGACGCAAGTCAGCAGTGTTCTCGCTCTGAAATGTTTTTGCGTTTACTGCGGTCGTGTTCAGTGGAAACTGGAAGACATCAAGGGGAGTATAAGTTCGGTTTTATATCAATGTTATATTGATTGACGAGGATGTTTTTCCTTTCGGGGTTTTTATGTTTATTTTTTTACTGGTTTGTTGTTTCTGTCTGATTTTTTTTTTCATTTTCGGCATGAGGTTTGGTTATTTTTGTGCTTATGCTATGCTATCACGGGAAGAGGGTCGATGAGCAATGGGTCGGCAAATGCCCGGTATATTATAGGTTCTTTGAAGGTTATATGAAACAACGAAACTTGGACTGCTGGTAGAAATAGGCTTTGTGTGTTTTTTTTTTCAGATTTTGGGAGATTGAGTGTAGGTATTTGCTAGGTGAAACATAGCTGTAACTGTTTTGTTTCTTCCCTGGAACGGAGCGCCGGACTTTGCCATTCTACACTCCGTGCGAGTGAAATCAGCTCATACTTTCTCGGTGTAGCAGCTCAGAGTGCACGGCCTGGCCGGCGTAGGGTTTGGTGGCCACGTGGTGTTGGCCGGTGGTTGTGCAGAGAGTTGGTAAAATTGCCGTTTTGTGGTGCCTGGTGTTGGTTGAACTGTGGTTCCCATACAGGTGAACGGTTACTGGCGTAAGGTGTGCCAGGTGGGCGTACCCCGTGGAGAATGAGCTGCTGGTGATGTTGGCTCTGTCCGAGCGTGTCCGAGCGGGGTTTTCATTAGTGGGTTAGGGATTGTTGATAACAAGGGTACCAACTACCGGGTGAGACTTGAGAGGGTAAATGGAGTTCATTGTAAGGATAACCAATGCAATGGTATTGGTCTAAGATGGTATTGTTATCTGGTGTTGATGGGTTGGAATGAAAGGTTTAGTGGGTGATAGAGGTACAGAGGTGATACAGTGGAACCCAGGTTGGGTGTGATAAGCCTCGGCGGACTAGGATATTATGGATTAGAGGGGGATTTATGTAAGGTGGTTTTGGGATGCATTAGCGATAGCATAGTAAGTTACGGGCTATTACCCAGAGGAACTTTTCACACCCATGTTTAAAGGCTGTAGTAGGTGGCATTTTCTAGGATGCAGTTTTAGGGTAGCCCGTGATTGTGTGGCTCTAACTCTGCATTGAGGTACGAGTTAACTGTGTTTCGTTTTTATGGTAGTGACGTTTGTAAATCTTTTTTTTTTGCCAGAGTGAGGTGCCTTTCTTGTAGTTGGTCAATAGAGCATTGCCGTGGCATGCATAAGCGACATCTGCAATATGCATATCCTGCCGATATCTCATCACACGCATTGTCAGATAAATGGCTCTAGTATACTCGTATATTGCCCCTATTGATACGAGATTTCGGCTAAAAATGGCTCTGTGACACAATCTGTTTTTTTTTTCTTCCATGGCTTGGTGGTTGGCATCCGACTCTGAACGCCAACGGCGACGGGTCGGCACACTCGGCGGGGCCGGCCCGTTTTGCCAGAGTCTTCTTGGGCCGCTGGAGGTTTCCTTCACAGCTCCCACGTCAGCTGAGGGAGTTCCGGCCCCACCCAGCTCATCTTGCTCCAGTGGTGCTGCCTAGCAGGTCTTACGGGACATCGTCAGGTATAGGCCAAGGTGGCCGGGGTTTTGAAAGGTACGTTATTCCATGTACGGGGCCCGGTGCATATCTGTTAATGGAGGTTCTGGTGGACCCGATAGGCTGGATAGTGAACGCTTGGGCATGGGCGATATCGGCATTTTTGAGGGGATATTTGGTTCCACCAATAGGGACATGAGGGCAATGCTGGTGGAAAGTAAGATACTAAGATAGTAATAAAATTGTGATAAAATCGTTAGGCGGAGCCCGTAGATAAAAAATGAAATCTAGTCAACTCTAACGTTAGACGTGTTTCCAACCTTGGTTTGCTGCTGCTGCTGAGGGTTGTTAAATCGTCTGTAACTATCTTCAAAGCGGTCTATTTCTTAGCAAATTATTTCTACTTGTCGCTATAGAGTATGATATGACCTTTCTCCTGCAAAACAGCGAATGAACATTGAACAATACAGGTCAGGTACTATTATTAAAGCTAAAATGAAGTAAGTCAGTATGCGTTGTTAGGACTGGGAGTTCCCCTCAGTGTCCCAAAATTGTATTTTGGCTTGGGTGTCAAAAGGAAAATTCCTAGGGGTCCGGGAACGATTTTCAAGGTGGGGGGGGGGGGACGTGCACATAAAATACCTGACATGATGCATATGGAACGGTGGCGTAGCTAGGGGTCTAAGGGGACACGTACCCCACCTCCCCATCGGGTTCAAAGGGAGCCTCGGGTCCGAGGGGCCCTGCGGCGCCATTTGACCACTGAGGGTTAACAATGGCCATTTAGAAGCGCCCCGTGGGGCTCATTAGAGCACCTCATGGACCCTAAATTGCCACACTAAGATCTCTTTAAGGGCCCACGCCGGATTCTGAGGGCCTCTTGTGCCCTTTAGGACCCTTCGGTGGTCTCCAAAGGCCCCTTACTGGCCTCTGAAAGTTCTTACCGGCCTATGAGGGCCCAGTTCTAGGGGCATTTCCCGCCTGTGATGGTCTCACAATTATTTTTTTGAGAGCCCTATAACGGCAACTGTGGGGGCCCTCGTCGGCGCCTATGAGGGCCCACGCCGGTGTCTCTGAGGGTGTCACACCCCCAACTCTGAGTGCCTACACTAGTGCCTATTTATGCCCTATATCGGCGACTCTGAGAGTGAGGACCCGAATCCCTACCCAACACCGGCGCATCTAAAGGCCACCCACTGGTGACTTCTGAGGGCCCCACACCGGTCCGGTGACTCTTGGGGCCCCACCGGCGTCTGATAGTACCATGCCGCTCTCTAAGGACCCCACAGAACTTCTTCTGCTGGCCTAAGGGCCTCTGGCCGGTCAATGAGAACCCCCTGCCGGCTTGAAGAGGGTTCGCGTCCGCGGCTCAGGCCCCACACCCGTCTGTAACGGCTCCACACCAGCGTCTATGAGGGCCCACAGCAACGCCTGTAAGGACCCTCACCGGCGCCTCTGAGGGAATCACACTAGCACCTCTGAGCGCCCACACCGGCACCTGCATGACATTCCCACACCAGTGCCTCTAAAGGCCCCTTACCGGCGGCTCTTAGGGCCCTACGCCGGTGATTCTGAGGATGCTAACGATAACCGAAGGTACCATACAAGCGCTTAGTGTCGCTGAGCTTTTAATCCCATACCGGCCTTCCAAGGGCGCCACGTCAGTGCACTCAATGCCCCACACCCCTCCATTTCACCCGGAGTGGGTAAACTGTGTTATACCTATAGCAACGATTTTACCACAGTTGTACTTTAGGTATTTCTCAAGGTTGACTCAAAATGGTCCAGTGTAAAAGCTGGCCTGCCAAACTTATGGCCAAGGCCAGGCCCAAACAAAAGCGGGATGTCAACAGCAGATGTCAAATCGATACTGTAACAGCAGAAACCATTCAGATGGCAAGGAAAATGCCTTGTGGTTATGTTTAGGTGTATAAAGGAAACAAGAAGTCCGGAAAAGGGAGGGAAGGTCCTTTCTCGCTGCCTCAATGTTGAGGGGTGCCGCCCCCTCGGCTCTCAGGTTGGGAGGGGGGCAAGCGCCCCCGCTGCCCCCCTGTTTCCCGGGTCTATGAAAATTACTCACCAAATAAGGGATAAGGGTGGAAAACTGATGGTCAGATAAGGCCTAAAAAGAGTGGAAGAAGAATGTACAGCAAAATTGAATACAAGGCTGGTATGTGGGAAGTAAAATGGCTATCGATCCATGCAAATGCTTTTTCTTGGTAAAATTGGGAGTGGAAAATGGGCTTAAAATGGAGGCGAGTGAAGAGTGATTTTCATTTGGATGTCGTTTCCCACCTAAATCAACAAATTTTGGGGCACTGGTACGGGGTACCCCTCGCCAGCATCAGGGTTGACGTCACTCAGGACCTGCCTATGGTTGGTTGGTGGGTGAGTTACTGTACCTTCTATGGGTGACATTGAGCCAGCTCGGCGTTTGGAGGCAGTAAGCACCTCCTAAACGTGTCGAGCTAGGAAGCAGCGGCAACCTTTGGAAGTAAAACCATATTGGCCTGTTTACAGCGTAGGGGCTGTCTGTATGCTGGTCATTTGGTCCCTGATCAATCCGGATCTTCGCGGAAAGGCAAGCTTGTTGCCCGTGGCGGGTGATGCGGATACTATCAGATTTCAAAAGCGGGTATTTTTGGTATTCAGGTCGGGTAATTGCCCTAGACATTCGGAGAATCTTGGGATGCCCAATTCTGCAAGTCCTGGGTGAAGCTCGCTAGTCTACCCGGGGGTGTCCCCTTCTACAACGACCCCGGGGCAGCTCACTAGTCTGCCCGGGGGGTGTTCCCTTCTACAACGACCCCGGGGCAGCTCACTAGTCTGCCCGGGGGTGTCCCCTTCTACAACGACCCCGGGGCAGCTCGCTAGTCTGCCCGGGGGGTGTCCCCTTCTACAACGACCCCGGGGCAGCTCGCTAGTCTGCCCGGGGGTATCCCCTTCTACAACGACCCCGAGGCAGCTCGCTAGTCTGCCCGGGGGTGTCCTCTCCTGCAACGGCCTCGGGGCAGCTCGCTAGTCTGCCCGGGGGTGTCCCTTTCTACAACGACCCCGGGGCAGCTCGCTAGTCTGCCCCAGGGTGTCCCCTTCTACAACGGCCTCGGGGCAGCCCGCTAGTCTGCCCGGGGGTGTCCCTTCTACACGGCCTCTGGGCAGCTCGCTAGTCTGCCCGCGGGCGTCCCCTCCTACAACAGCCTGATTCCTGGAGCGGGCTGAGAGCCCTCCCCTTTTTTGCTGGGCGGCTGTCAACGACCTTCGTTGATGCTGTTCTAACCCCTTCCAAAGTTATGGGAAAATTAATGGTCGCGCTGAAAGGCATGTGCATAGGGTTCAAGGTAAAGGAGAATACAGCTTCTGTTGTCAGATGCCTCAAAACTCATGGATGGTTGTTTTTTCGGCGGGTATATCGAGGGCCTTTACTTGGTGGAGGCTATCATCGCAGTAGTGGCTAATGCTACTGGTTGTTAGTCCTGTGAGGGCTTCGGTATAAATGCCGTAATATTGCTCTTCATTGGTGACCGCTGTATCGCTCACATTCATGTTGGCAGGTTTAAGGGATCGTGGCGTTTCTGGTAAGCTTCGGGCCAGGTTGAGGAAATAATTACCTACCTTCAACCAAGCACGTATTTGGGTGGGTTCTGCCACTGGTCTCGACACTGGTGGCGACTAGAGGTCTTTTGTGTTAATTTGTATCCCCCATTCGGTCTGCTGGTCTCGGGAAGGGGGCGTTTTATTTTGGCGCATTGGTGTCTGGGTGGATGTATTGAATGGGTGGGGACACCATTGCGCCGCGCGGGGGGAGGGGTGGCGGCCCGTTGGCAGGGCAGTCTCGGTTGAGACATGTATACTTGCTAGTATGTTTGTGTCGTGTTCATTTGGGCTGAATATACCAATAGCCCCTTTTTGTACAGCTACAGTGTTTTTCTGGAGGGACTTGGTTGTGAGGTTGGCGCTGAGATTGGTTACGCATAGCATAGCTAATTGTCTCTATGTTTGCTGGCAGCTCGAAGGGGAAGCGGAAAATACGCCCGGTTATATATGACAAGATATAACCGGTTTTTCCGCGACACTACGAGCCGGAGCGTCTTCTCTGGGGCGGCCCCGGAGCCGGGCCGGCCTCTGCGAGCAGCGTTCGGCGGCAGGCGGGCGGCCGCCTGCGCCCCCGGGCGGCGAGGCCGCTAAGGCGGCGGCCTCCTCTGATTGGTGGAGCGACTCGTGTCACGTGACCGTGACGGCGCGGGGTTTGAGTGCATTTGCGCGGTCACTCTGTTCTAAGCCGCCTGGTCTGACGCAAGTCAGCAGTGTTCTCGCTCTGAAATGTTTTTGCGTTTCCCACCCACCCACCACCATTTTTGGGGCTTTTTTTTTACACGCACCACACTCTTAAATAAAGATGGGTTTTTCCACAAAATGTGGTTTTTTCCCCAACTAGGTCCCCCGGTTTTTTTCTAGTTAGGACTTTTTCCGGGGGAGGACACACACGACAGGGTTTCTAGTTTGGGTGGGGACACCATTGCGCCGCGCGGGGGGAGGGGTGGCGGCCCGTTGGCAGGGCAGTCTCGGTTGAGACATGTATACTTGCTAGTATGTTTGTGTCGTGTTCATTTGGGCTGAATATACCAATAGCCCCTTTTTGTACAGCTACAGTGTTTTTCTGGAGGGACTTGGTTGTGAGGTTGGCGCTGAGATTGGTTACGCATAGCATAGCTAATTGTCTCTATGTTTGCTGGCAGCTCGAAGGGGAAGCGGAAAATATATTTGTCTCTTACTACTCAACTTGACAGTACTTTTATGTTTTTATCCATCAGCCACCTGATTTCGCTCTTCAATAAGTGTGTTAGCGTACGTCTCTTAAAGCTCTCTTTACATTACTTTCCATGACTGATGATTGTTTTCAACAGGCTAGCCTTCACTGTCAATTCTGAACATGTTCCTCAAAGGGTCACCAACAACATAAACAACAGCAAACAGTTTACCCAATGTCTTCTTAGACTCTCACCGATGATCAGAATGGCAGACATGAATGTCGCCATCATCGAGAGCGACACCGGGGCCACGTTCATGTCGCGTGAGATGAGCAGACCCTGTGCGTCCTGTCCGCGCAGACCGTAGAACACGCCGATAGCCAGCGTGGCGGCCACAAACAGCGCCATCACTACAAAGTTGACAGTGCCGAACGCAGCCGCAGCCGCCGTGGCCGCCATGTTGGATTTGGTGGTTTTCGCCGGGGAAATCCGAGGAGTTGACTGACGGATGCCGAATCGGATGACCGCAATATGGAAGCTGGAACAGAAAACAATTCGCAGAAATGGTGAGAATGCCAACGTGCTGTGGTGAGCTAAGCACGGCAATATAAGAACGAGGAATTAAGCAAACAACAGACCACCTTTCCAACAGGAAGATTACGGGGAAGCATGCATAATGCATATCAAGCACCCAAAACCGCTGTACTGAGATCAAACCTGGCGACTTCTGAGCGAAAAAGCTCTAAGAGAGATATAGATATTTCCAGCGATTTTGTCGTTCAATTATAACAAGTAGAACGCTCCTAAAGACGAGAGTGCACAACGCGCGCACGTGTTAAGATCTCCAAGTGGCTTGCGAGGGTCACCAACCTAGCTTGACACCTAGCACTCAGCAGCGTAAATAAATACAAAGCTTGAATATAAAACTTAGTGCAACTGGCTCAGCCGCTCCTGATATGTGAAAGCAGGCCCTGTTATGTGTGCACGTGCAATCAGACCCCAACTGACGTGCAGTCGGAGTGCACGTGTCAGTCTTTTGACGGCCATGTGACCGTACAGAGTTCAGTGGACCGCCCTTAAACACACTACTCACTTTGAGCAACATTGCCTTAGCCGTTCTTGAGTTAAAGATCGTGGAAGCGCCTCCCCCCCTCTTACACGTACAAAAGCGCAAATGAGACCCTAACTAATTTGTGAGGCCACCTCTGTTATCGGTCCCTAACGGTATACCACATCTGAAGGCAATCGGTCCAGCGGCCCAGCCGTTATGAGACGAATAAAACGAATGACCAGCCCCTGCACGTGTACACTGTTCCGCTATGAAATCATTTTGCCCCACACCGTTCATTCTTGTACCGTTCTCACCCCCCCCCCCTCCCCAGACAAGTTACTGGAGCGTTTCCTCCGGGATGACCGTTTACGCAGCTGTAGGTTTTATCTATGTCATGCAAGCAAAACAGAGTAGTAGTCGCATCAGCCCCTCGTCTCCCCCTTATTTCGTTTTCTCACGACCCTGAAGTACCTAGTCTAAGTGCATACTTTATTGATTGTAAGGGCCTCAGATTGTAGCCTCAGTAAAAATGTTGGTCTAACCGAGAAAAAAAAAACGTGATTAAAATAAGACGAAATCAAGCCCTAACTTCCTGAGATTTAATAAGATCGGTTAGATATAAGTGCGAGTTAAACAATAACCTCATTCCCATTGACAACATAATTATGCACATGCAAAGAGACATGAGAGACATCTCTCTCTCTCTCTCTCTCTCTCTCTCTCTCTCTCTCTCTCTCTCTCTCTCTCTCTCTCTCTCTCTCTCTCTCTCTCTCCCTCTCTCTCTCTCTCTCTCTCTTTCTCCCTCTCTCTCTTTCTTTCTCCCTCCCTCTCTCTCTCTCTCTCTCTCTCTCTCTGTCCTCACCTGAAATACAACTTAATATTTGGCCAAAGTGAGCTTCCTTTGTCACTCTGGATCGATTATCCGCACAGTGCACACTTGTCACTCGTTCTGGCTAATTTTGACCGCTGCCAAGAGCCAATTATCCGTCATACACTTGGCCGGTTCCGAGCTGAGCTCCACGCGAGTGCTGAGTTTCTGCTAGGAGCGCTCACAGCTCAGCTCCTAGAGCTCAGCTCCGACAGATCGGCTCCTTCAGCTCAGCACCAGCACCTCAGCTCCTGCGGCTCAACTCCTGCACCACGACGAAGTTTAGCCGATGCACTGCGCCTCTCACAGTTCTCTCACCGCGCCGCTCCCGCTCGTGCAATGCGCCGCGCGCCCCGTGCAGCGCAGACTGAGCGGCGCGGCGGCTGGCAGCTCGCGGTGGCCACACCGGCTCCCCGGCCCCCCGCCGACTCAGGTGCTGTTACCCGGCAGCTGGCAGCTGCACCCACTGTACAACGTGGAGGGGAGGGGTAATGGGTGGGGGTACCAGCTCGCCCAGTGCACGGCTGACCGTGGTGAAGACTCGTTCGGAATCAGGTATGTACCGAGAACTTCACAATGGGAATCAGAGTGGTTACCGACCACCTATAAATAGCAAAACCGGTTGGCCCTGAATTGGTGAGACGTTCAACATTGTGGCGTGTATAAGTAAAATGTGACGTTCCGCTGGAATCTGGCTGACTGCGCAGTTCTATTTTTGGGTTTAATCTAGACTTCGTTACCGCAGTTTCTTGCAACAAATTTCAATGCCTGATATACCAAACCAGATACACACCCCGACTCGTTTATTTACAATGTTGACAGAGAGAGCCGGATGTCATTTGATCAGTAGCATTATCCACACCAATAGCGATTGTGGCATGTAGTTATGATAAATACTACGATTAAAAATATAATAAATAACTACGCCATTCATCCCTGGCGGTGGTCCGATCGTAGCATATCGAGGCGAGATGGGGCTGCTTCACGCCCCCCTCCTTGACTCGGCTCCTGGTCCAAGAAGCGATTAGCGCGAATCCGCATGCGAAATAAAATATCTACCATTGAAAATTATATGATATCAATTATCAATGGTCACATTTTCCCGCCTTCGAGGTTCTTTGTCAAATGATTATCAGACCTTTTGAGCTAACTCATTATTACCATAAAATTGGAGATCGTCTACCTTACTATACGCCCCATCGCGGAAAGGTAAGTACCTACCTATAAGTAGGTAGGTACAAATTCAGCATTTTTCGCAAGTATTTCGGCTAAAACTGCCAAACATCAACAATTTGGCTGATATAGGGCAAAACCATAATACGGACATTTCTGGAACAAGTTTTGCGATGATTTTTGATAATGCCACTTACACAATTCGTTTTTTTTTTTTAACAAAATCATGTTTCTCTTGTTAAAACGCGTCAAATTAATTATTAATTTGCTACTCTACGGTCACCTTGTAAGTTAGACCGTCATGACCTTTGAAAGGTCATTATCCCATTAATTCAGTATTGAATAAAAATTGATGCCTTGAACCATGGCACCGTTTTATTTCCCTCATTATCGTGTGTGTGTGTCTCCATAAAAGATTGGTCAGAACTTAGACTGTGAAAATCGTGCACCATTCTGGCAGAGAAGAATGCAAGCATTCGTAATGTTCATGCTCTAAACAATGTTGTGTTGCCCTCATACCTCATTTTATTCTATACATTTTACTTATATGCACTGAACACATGCAAGACAGTGATTAATAATTACACATTATACACCAAAACGTAATTATACACAATATGCACGAGAGCATAGCACATCGTATTGCGGTCTTCCCTTCCGGCTGCTGACAGCATGCGCGTCATTTATCAGCACATCAAGTATACAGCGAGAATGACTACAATTAATCTACTCAGCGTAGATCCCTGGTCATTCTCGCCGGGCAAATCCAACTGACGACGAAGCTCACACATATCAACAAACAGAAAGATTGATTTCGATTTCACAACCGAAACTAAACGAGCAAAAAGTACGGCGGCGTCACTGCCGAACGTTCCGCATAGAGTCGTGTTCTGCGTCACAGCGTCACACACGTCACGGACTGGCGCGTCACTCTCGGCATGGGGCCTGCCTGTAAGACGTCACTGAATTTCCACAGCGGTGTCGGCAGAGAGACTGGTGTCCTCTTCTTCCGGTTTGACGACTGATGATGAGGAATCCCCCGCCGGCCGCCGCAGGGGAGCCCGGCGAATCTGCTTAGGAGCCATTACTGCCGAGAGAGATTGCAAAACAGGGTCAAATGCGAGAGCTGACAGGATCCAGGCCGCTGTTCTACAAAAGTGTCCTGACATGAATTGCAGTGCTTTATTCAGCAGTTCTCGTTCTTGATTTTAAAACGTTAGCGGAAGGGACTACAACTCAGATGACTTTTAGTCCATATAGCTATCGGTAATAGTTAGGACAAGAATGGTGAAATTCAACGGCAGGGTATATTAACACTTCCTTGCTATCCAGGCATTGATGCATTGGACGGACTATAGATAGCATCGATTTTGCAATCTCAACATTCTACAATCGACCTGACTATAGGGTCTGGGTGCACTTACTGTTGACGTCGCTATGGCACTGCGGGGCCTGGTGACCTAACTAACCTAGCGTACTTTTTTCTGAGGCTGCACAGCGGGAGCAAGGGAGTGGCTAAAGTCGGTGTTATCGGCAAAATCGCCTCCATTGACAGTGCAGTTAAAGTGATGCTGTCGTCCCTTTTGGTCATTTCTATCGGCTCTTTTAAACATATGCATGTATGGGCTATGGCAATGCATTCCTATACCTCGACAGAACGTATATCGGTTGCATATCTATTCGTCATTGGTATAGGCCGGCACTGACTTTTGGCGGCGCTGCTGCCGGAGCGCTGCGGTCCGAGGGCTGCTGGCTCCGTGTCGCTGGGCCGGCTCGGCCGGCTGACCGGCTGCTGAAGCTGCTGAGGCTGCTGCTGAGACTGCTGCTGGGCCAGCCCAGCGCTGCTGCTGGCCGGGCTGGGTGGCGACGACCAGCCGGCGGACCCCGGGCCAGGGGCCGGCGCCGTCCGAGACACCAGCACCGGCATCAGAGTGCTCGTCGAGCCGCTGCTCTGTCTCAGCTGAGCTGAAACAAACCCCGCCTGAGTCCTGATACAATGAACCACAACACGGCCGACCTACCACAGCACGCTGGTTCGTCTTTACGGGTCTACGTCGCTCGCAGATATAGATGATGGTGGTTGAAGTTTACAGGGCGCCTCAGCTGCGTGCATTGGTGTTCAAACTTCAAAGACTATATCATCTTATCAAAAAACGCAACAGCTGCTTTGTGGATCTGACAGGGATTAAAAGGTTAATTGATCGCTTAATGATGTTTGCAATATATTTTGTACAGTTCCGGTTAGGGCCATCGTTAAAAAGTGTCCAGCTATACGCCGCTTCTGGTCCAGCAGCCGGAGCACATTACCTGTTTGATCGGACCGTGCGGCCGGCGGTCCGCGGTCTCTCTGGTCCGGACCCGGCTCCGGCTCCGACAAAGTGGTCCGCCACTGGTCTGCGTCTGGTCTTTTGCGGTCCGGCTGCTTGGTGGAAGGACCGGGCGACGCCCCGGCAGACTCCTTCCCACCACCACTGCTACCACCGCCACCTCCACCACTGCCGCCGCCGCCGCCGCCGACAGCGTCCGCGCTCTGAAAAAGAGACGACGTCATGCAGTCATACAAAGGAGACATAAGTGTAATGGCATTAGACATAGTGAATTGTGATGACAATCTGGCAGTAAGACATATCTATTTACTCAGTATAATGTTCCTTATTTTCAACCGCTTATTCGAGCAACATAGTGAAGAAACTGAAGAGGAGGAGAGTATCCAAGAAGCTGAAGGACTTTAAAGATGAAGACCAATGTTGAAGGCGTGTTTGTGATAATTCTGACCTGTCCAGGACCGGGTGCTCCCCTGACTAGTTTCCGGAGAAACGCGAGTCGATCTGCCCGGGACCGGAGGGGCACGTAGTCATCCAGGATATGGCGCACCTCACTTCTGACCCGTTCAGTGAAGCGGGTCTGCGTGGTTGGTTCAGGGCCTTCCGGCGCCCGCCGCACCGCCTCTGTAACGAAGGTGAGGGAGGTCGATTTGAGAACTTTCTACCTTGGCTCCTCGGCTACGCTCTGGGCAATAAAGCATGTTTCGGTCTTCGCCCTCAGAATACAATGGTAAAAAATACCCCATACATACAGTATTCATGTAATGTTGCTACTTCAGCATCTACATACGCTAATGCATTTGCAGAATAATAGATTCTACGCACCATCCCAGTGTGTGGTGACCGAGCAGGTCCACGGCACAAAGGCGGGCGGGTGCTGGGGCACCGGTAACAGCACTTCTCCGTCCCGGTCCTCGGGTAGCGCCACACGCGGGAACATGGTCCGTGCCAGGTCCCGGTTCGGGTTGAACCCGGGGTTCTCCAGCTGGCCGCAGACGTCACAAACCGGTCAGACACGCTCGAGAGAGCGTTTAACGAGCACCAAACTGGTTCGGAAAGGTGTTGGAACAAGTATGGCTTACAGCCTCCGCTCGTCAAAACTGAAAGCAGAGGTATTTATAAACTACTGAATGCATCCAGCATCAACTGCATGTCTTGTCATTGATACATCTGATGAGCAGGGTTGTGCTTGACTCATGAGTCGAGTCAGAAATTTTACTCAACTCTGACTCAAATGAGTCAAATTTGAGTCGATTCGGATAAAATGTTGAGCTGTTGAGTTGAGTCAGAGTTGAGTCAGACAAAAATATTAAGGCGTTGAGTTGAGTCAGAGTTGAGTCAGTAAAATAACTTTTGACATTGAGTTCAGTCAAACATTTAGGAACAGTAGTCAGCTGACTCAACTTTACCTATATATATATATATATATATATATATTATATATATATATATATATATATATATATATATATATATATATATATATATATATTTATAAGCTTTTCATTACTTCCCCCCTGTAGATGGCGCCAGCCAGATTTGGTGCATTGTGGTACTTGTCCGTGTTGCATTATCCTTTTCCGGCCTGTCTGATTTACCTATGCCTTTGGTTTACATGTTGTTCTGTTTTGTCATCACTCCCCGCCCTCTAGCCGGGTTTGTTGCGTCAGAATTCTGGCAGCTTTAGAGATGCGCGTCGAGCGAGGCGGATAAAATGTATAGAAGGCGTGTGTTTTCTGCCGAGATATTGAAGATTTAACCATGAGAAATATTATTGTATTCGTCGCGTGGATTTGGAATGCCAAACATGCTTAATTTGATATTTGTGCGAGTGATGGTGAAATCTCGGTACGTGTCAGTGTGCGACACTATTTCGCTCTTTTCGGCGGGTGCGTCTGGCCCGAGAGGTTGTGTCGGCTGCGGTGCTGGTTTTGGACAGAAGGTGGGTGGATATTGATCGATGATTGTCGTAAATTTGTTGCTAAAGGAATGTTGATTGCTTTGCCAGGCGTTAGATTTATTTTGCATACGTATTTCGGTAGTTATAATATGCTCATAGGACGGCATGGGATTTCGCCTCAGGTGCGTCATTTTGCAGTGTGTTCTGTTTGTATAGGTGCCCGGGGAGGAGCTCGGCCTGTGCGAGCCCGGTTTTCCCCGTGGCTGAGTGCGCCGTGTGACGAGGCTGCGGTACGAGGTCGGCCGCGGCACGAGGTCGGCCGCGGCACGGGGTCGGCCGCGGCACGAGGTCGGCCGCCGGGAGGTCGGCCGGCGCGAGCCTGCTGCGGTGCGAGGTCGGCCGCTGAGATAAGGGCGTGGAGACCCTTACAGCCGGTAGGATATGCTTATTTGTTTATTAACTTCGAGGTGATATTTGTAGGGGAATTGTGTTAGCTAGAGAGTGGGAAGTGTAAAACGGAAATTGCTGTTAAATGTATTATTGTTTTCATTAAATCTAAACCAACATATTTTGTATGTACTGCGCAGTGCGAGTGTCGATGTGAGCGCTGGTGGATTCGTGTCCTAGTATGCTCGCTGACGCCCTGCTGTGCTCCACAGTAACGAATCAGTTTAAATACAACTATTCAGTCAACGGCGTGGTCTCGACGTGCGTGAGCAGCTGAGCTTGGAGTCGTGGACGCCCGGCGGCGGTCGCCTGTGGCGACTGCTGCACCACAGCGTCGGCTGTGGAAACTACAGTTACGGCTGGGCCTCCGTCTACACTCTGGCTGTGCAGCAACGGCTGGGTCAGCTGCAGCCGGCTGCTGCTGCAACTCCGGGTAACCTGCTGCTTCAGCTGCATCTAGCTGCGCTTGATACCGGTGAGATGTGACTGACCTGTGCTGTTGCATAGGAGTTTGGCGTTCTGCCAGGAGTGAGTCTGGCATTCTGCCAAGAGCGAGTCAGACGTTTTTGCCAAAGTGAGTCTGGTGCCTTGCCAGACAGAGATTGACATTTCTGCGACCTGATCTGGCACTCTGCCAGAACAGGGTCTGTGTTTGGTGTTCTGTCAGGACTGAGGTTTGGTCCTTGGCTTTCTGCCAGGACTTGAGAGCAGTGACGGGGAGCTAGCTGGTGGGGGTGCACAGTTGTGGTTCCCGTGTGCGTGGGTGCTGACGCTATTAGTGTTAGAGACGTTGACGTTAGGTCAGTGATGAGCGCGTTTTTGAGTAACTAATGTGTGTTGTGTATTCTTAGCTTTGTAGTTTGTAGGGTGTGTAGTTTTAAGTACTGGCTGGGCGTTCCTACCAAATCCTGAACCATCCCTGAACTATGAGTATCACCGCACTGACTAAGGAGGAGTTGGGGAGACTTAGGGTCTCAGACTTGAGGAAGGAGCTAGAGGAGTTAAACTTAGATGTAACCGGGACTAAAGTAGAGCTTGTAGAGAGGCTGTGGGGTGCTATCGAGGGACGCGCGTCAGGTGAAACAGAGATTAAGAGTGTTAGGACTGAGGCGCAGGACGTGGGTAGCGCAGAGACCCAGGCCCAAGTGAGTGTTGCCCCCCTGCGTGGTGCGGGTGCGACCTCATCTGAGGGGCCGCCCGGTACCTCAGCTAGCATGCTGAGGCTGAAACTTAAACTTATAAAGTCTAAACAGGAGGTAGAATCGGACGTGATCAGGGTTCGAGCTCAAGCTCAGCAGGAGGAGCTAAGGCTCAGGGCTCGGTCCGAGCAGTTGGACCTGGAGCTACAGCTAGCGGAGATGGGGGAGGTAGATGAGTCTGCGTGGGAGCCCCTGAGGGTGGCGGCTGGGGCTATGGTCGAGACCCCTTCTGTGGAGAGTGAGCTGTCTCCCCTGGTGAGAAGGTCGCTCCTCCCTCCTGCCGAGCTGCGTCCTTTCACTGGTGCTGTGGAGGAATTCAACCTTTTCATGAAAGCTTTTGACTCGCGTATCGCCAAGAAAACTAATGACAAGGGGGAGCTTCTTTTTTATCTGGAGCAGTATACTAGAGGTAAGGCCAATCAGCTGGTAAAGGGATGCCTCCACCTGGGAGATGAGGGGTATGAGGAGGCCAGGCGGCTGCTGGAGAACCGGTACGGGAATCCGATCAGACTAATTGACTCTTACGTCGGGAGGGTGGATGGCTGGCCACGCATCCAGGCTGGGGATGTGGAGGGGCTGGATAAATATTCACTCTTCTTGACTGAGGTCATGAATGCTATGACCGGGGTGACGATGGGGGAGTTTGAGCACCCGTCCACCCTCCGGCTGGTCGTATCCAAGGTCCCCGTCTACCTTCAGGATAGGTGGATGAGGGAGGCGGACCGGCTGTGCGAGAGGGGCGATCCTGTGCGTTTCTCAGACCTGGTGTCTTTCATCAGCGCCGAGGTGAGAGTGCGGAGGAGCCCGCTCTTCGGTCCCAGGCCGCCCGCTCCGTCCCGTTCCGATGCTGGTGCGCCTCATCCTGGCAAGTTCAGGGTGAACACGGCCAAGGTGGGTGAGCCTGGTGGCCGGCGCTGCGAGTACTGTGGGTCGGCGCATGACATTGGTAGTTGTCAGGCCCTGAGAGAGAGACCCTGGGGAGAGAGGAGACGGGCACTCATGCGATTCCAGCTGTGCTTTGGGTGCCTGCGGAGAGGGCACCGTGTGCAGGCCTGTCGGAGGCCGCTGCAGTGTGATGTCTGCCGGGGTGCGCATCCGTCTGTGCTGCACCGGGAGAGTTGTCCGGGACCGCTCGGAGGACCTCCGGTGACGCCGCGCGGGGCGGGTGTGGTGATGCCGTCCAGCGGCGGGTCCGGTGCGAACGTAGTGAGCGCTAGTCTCGGCCTGAGGGGAGTCAGTCGGACGGCGCTGCCTATTGTGGCGGTGCGGCTCAGGGCCACGACTGGTAAGGTTCTGGTAACGAACGCTCTGCTGGACCAGGGGTCCTCTGGCAGCTTCTTGACAGAGAGGTTGGCGGCGCGTCTAGGCGTGCGGATTGAGCGGACGACAGTATCTATCGAGACAGTGGGAACTGACCGGAAGACTATCCCGACAGCCATGGCCTCTGGGTTAGAGGTGAGCGGCGCGGACGGCGGCACGTTTCATTCGCTGCCTAATCTGTGGACTGTCGACTCTCTGCCCGTGACATTAGATGACAGGTGTAGTTCCGACGAGCTGAGTGGTGCCGCGCACCTTCAGGGTGTCAGGCTGTGCGAGGCCGACTCCCCAGTCGAGCTGCTCTTGGGCTCAGACTGTGCCGCACTGATTGTGGCCAGGGAGGTGCGGGCCCCTCCGATGGGGGAGGAGGGACTCTGTGCTGTGCGGACCAATGTAGGATGGTATATCATCGGCTGTGCCCAGGGGGCAGATGTGTCGGGAGGGCGACTGAGTGTGAACTTCCTGAGGGTCATGGACGCGTGTGTGACCGAGCCGGACGCCGGCGGCGGCGAGTGTCTTTACCGAAAGCTGTACGAGCATGAGTTCGGTGACTTGTCGGATGATAGGGAGGGCCTGTCGGTTGAGGACCGTGAATGGATTGACTTTGTCAGATCTAACATGGTAAGGGATGACGGGGGACAGTTTGTTATTCCCCTCCCCAAGGATGACTTTGGCGAGCTGCCAGATAGTCTCCAGACGGCCTCCCGACGACTGGAAGCGCTGAGGAGGCGTTTCCGATCTGACAGAGAGTACTTTGAGATGTACCGCAGCGTGATCTCCTCACTCGAGGAGGACGGCTACGCTGTCCCGGTGTCCGACGGACTGACTGACGGTGACCACCCTGTATGGTATATGCCACACCACGGGGTGATGGAACCCGAGAAAGGTAAATTGAGAGTTGTCTTCGATTGTGCCGCAAGGAGTCACGGTGTGTGCCTGAACGATCTACTGAAGGGGGGACCGAATTTGACTAATTCGCTGCTCGGTGTGCTGTGCCGCTTCCGGGAGGGCCCGGTAGCATTCACCTGTGATATCGCTTCAATGTATCATAGAGTGAGGGTCCCGGAGCCTGACACCAACCTGCTGCGGTTCCTGTGGTTTCACGGCTCTGACCCGGAGGGCGAGGTTCGGGTGTGGAAGATGACGTGTCACGTGTTCGGTGCCGTTTCGAGCGGCAGCGTGGCGAGCTTTGCGCTCAGACAGTGTGCGGAGGAGGGGCGGTCGCAGTTCCCCGAGGCTGCTGACGCACTGACCCGCAAATCCTATGTAGACGATGTCCTCTGTGCTACGTCCTCCGTGGAGGGAGCAGTTAAACTGGCGAGTGATCTGAAAGAGCTGTGTAGCACGGGAGCGTTTAATTTGACAAAGTACAAGAGTAACAGTTCAGATGTCCTTCGTCAGATTCCAGTACAGGATAGAGGGAAGAGCGTCAAGGAGCTGGACCTGGGCAAAGATGGTCTCGGTTCTGATCGTATCCTGGGTCTCAGGTGGTCGATGGAGGATGACTGTTTCTGTTTTCAGTTCCGTGATAAACAGAAGCCGGTGACGAGGCGCGGCATCCTCTCCACCGTGAGCTCGGTGTTTGATCCGCTGGGTGTGATCGCGCCGGTGACTTTGCTTGGCCGGGCATTGCTCCAACGACTGTGTGCCCTGTCGTACCGATGGGACGAGCCTCTCCCTGATGTGTTGCAGAGGGAATGGCGGGAGTGGGTAGAGCTGGCGGGTGAGCTCGATCGAGTCAGGCTCAGCAGGTGCATCTCTGATCTGCCAGGAGAGGTGCTTGCCACCGAGCTCCACGTGTGTGCGGACGCCAGCGAGACGGCGCATTCCGCGGTCGCGTACCTGGTGAGAGAGGTGAGGACTGCGGGTGGGGAAACTGAGCGGTCTGTCCACTTTCTGATGGGCAAGTCGCTGGTGAACCCGATCCGTTTCGTCTCCATCCCGCGACTGGAGTTGGCTGCCGCTGTTCTGGCGGTCAAGATTAGGCGCGTGCTGGTCAGGGAGTTGGACACTGTGTTCGATTCGTTCAACATGTGGTCAGACAGCATGGTGGTGCTGGGCTACGTGCGGAACAGATCGACGCGATTTAAAACGTATGTGGCGAACCGAGTCGCATACATTCACGATGGGTCTGACGTGTGCGAATGGAGGTATATTCCGTCGGAGATGAACCCGGCTGACGTGGGATCCCGCGGCTGTCGTTCCGCGGGACTGGATCCCTGGCTGGGTGGGCCGGAGTTTCTCCGTGAGGGGACGAGTGGGTGGCCGACTGAGCCGACAGTGACTGTGGTAATCCCTGAGTGTGAGGTGAAGGCGACACCGGTCGCTGCGGTCCGTGTGGAGCCCGAGTGTAGCGAGGGCAGTTCGTCTGATATCCTGATAAGGCACTTCTCCTCTTTCAGCCGGCTTCAGCGAGCGGTGGCCTGGCTGAGGAGATTCATTGATGTGATCCGTGACGGTTCCTTCCGTAGGTGGTGTATGAGGAGGAGAGGTCTGAGGCGGCGAGAGAGTAGTGCAGCTCGAGAGCTGAGTGTGTCCGATCTGAGGGCGGCGGAGCGTGCAGTTCTGCGATACGTTCAGCAGAGCTCGCTGCCCGAGTTTCCGCAGGGCGGTGACGACGGTCCAGTCCGCGTGAGAAAGGCTAGTGGGCTGAGTCGTCTGAATCCGCACATGGTCGGCGGACTTCTGGTCGTTGGGGGGAGGTTGTCCCGAGCTGGCTGTCTGTCTGACGAGGAGAAACATCCTGTGATCCTCCCTCGGCGCCACCATGTGACCCAGATGATTATCCGTGAGACTCATCGGAGAGTGGGACACCAGGGTCGTGACCATACCTTTTGGGAGCTGAGGCGGAGGTATTGGGTCATAGGAGCGGGCCCGGAGGTTAGACGAGCGATCCGCTCGTGTGTCACGTGCCGTAAGGTGAACGCCAGGCCCCAGCAGCAGCTGATGGCGGAGCTGCCGCAGGAGCGAGTCGTGGGGGAGAGACATGCCTTTTCCTCTGTGATGTTGGATGTGTTCGGTCCCATCATGGTAAAGGCCGGACGCGTTGAACGCAAACGGTACGGCCTGATGTGCGTATGTACTGTGACGCGCGCTGTCCATGTCGAGTTGCTAGACTCGTTACGTACCGACTCGCTGATTAACGCCGTGAGGAGGATCAGTGCTCGTCGTGGGCCGATCCAGTATATCAGGAGTGACATGGGAACAAACATGACAGGGGCAGACCGAGAACTGAGGGAATCTCTGAGGGAAGTAGACAGGAGTGGGCTGTCGCGCGCAGCGCTGAGGTACGGGATTGAATGGGTATTCAACCCGCCTACTGCGTCGCACTTTTCGGGTAGTGTGGAGCGACAAATACGAACTTTCCGAAAGATCTGGCGGTCGATGCCGCTGCAGCAGCGTGTGGACGAGGAGTCCCTTCACACGTTGTTCTGTGAGATTGAGATGATAATGAACGGCCGTCCGTTGACTTTTGTTTCTACCAGCTCGGGCGAGGTTGAGCCGCTAACCCCGAGCCATTTGCTTTTTCTGAGAGGCAGCGCGGGCCCGATCCCCGGGTTGTATGATGAGGCTGACTTGCTGTCCAGGCGGCGCTGGCGGCAGATTCAGTATCTAGCCCAACAGTTTTGGGTCCGCTGGAGACAGGAGTATTTGCTGTCACTTCAGTCCAGACAGAAGTGGACGCGGGAGGTGAGAAATATGCGGCCGGGGGACGTCGTTCTGCTCGTGGACCGTGACGTTCCGAGGGGGCTGTGGCAGATGGGGCGGATTGTGGAGGCAATCCCAAGTCAGGATGGGCTGGTCAGGAAGGCGGTAGTTAGGATAGGCGCGTCAACATACCTGCGTCCCATTCATAAAATGGTACTGATCTGCTCAGAGTCTGAGCTAGACTGAGTGAGTTAGGCACGCGAGTGTGCAGACGGACTTCTGAGGTCAGTTGTGTCATGTGTCGGGTGTTCTGAGGTCAGTGCTTCTCATCGCGTCAAAATTCCTGTTGGAGTATCGCGCTGGCGCCGGTTTTTCTAGATTCGATCCATCTGATCGAATGGGGGAGTGTAGATGGCGCCAGCCAGATTTGGTGCATTGTGGTACTTGTCCGTGTTGCATTATCCTTTTCCGGCCTGTCTGATTTACCTATGCCTTTGGTTTACATGTTGTTCTGTTTTGTCATCACTCCCCGCCCTCTAGCCGGGTTTGTTGCGTCAGAATTCTGGCAGCTTTAGAGATGCGCGTCGAGCGAGGCGGATAAAATGTATAGAAGGCGTGTGTTTTCTGCCGAGATATTGAAGATTTAACCATGAGAAATATTATTGTATTCGTCGCGTGGATTTGGAATGCCAAACATGCTTAATTTGATATTTGTGCGAGTGATGGTGAAATCTCGGTACGTGTCAGTGTGCGACACTATTTCGCTCTTTTCGGCGGGTGCGTCTGGCCCGAGAGGTTGTGTCGGCTGCGGTGCTGGTTTTGGACAGAAGGTGGGTGGATATTGATCGATGATTGTCGTAAATTTGTTGCTAAAGGAATGTTGATTGCTTTGCCAGGCGTTAGATTTATTTTGCATACGTATTTCGGTAGTTATAATATGCTCATAGGACGGCATGGGATTTCGCCTCAGGTGCGTCATTTTGCAGTGTGTTCTGTTTGTATAGGTGCCCGGGGAGGAGCTCGGCCTGTGCGAGCCCGGTTTTCCCCGTGGCTGAGTGCGCCGTGTGACGAGGCTGCGGTACGAGGTCGGCCGCGGCACGAGGTCGGCCGCGGCACGGGGTCGGCCGCGGCACGAGGTCGGCCGCCGGGAGGTCGGCCGGCGCGAGCCTGCTGCGGTGCGAGGTCGGCCGCTGAGATAAGGGCGTGGAGACCCTTACAGCCGGTAGGATATGCTTATTTGTTTATTAACTTCGAGGTGATATTTGTAGGGGAATTGTGTTAGCTAGAGAGTGGGAAGTGTAAAACGGAAATTGCTGTTAAATGTATTATTGTTTTCATTAAATCTAAACCAACATATTTTGTATGTACTGCGCAGTGCGAGTGTCGATGTGAGCGCTGGTGGATTCGTGTCCTAGTATGCTCGCTGACGCCCTGCTGTGCTCCACAGTAACGAATCAGTTTAAATACAACTATTCAGTCAACGGCGTGGTCTCGACGTGCGTGAGCAGCTGAGCTTGGAGTCGTGGACGCCCGGCGGCGGTCGCCTGTGGCGACTGCTGCACCACAGCGTCGGCTGTGGAAACTACACCCCCGCGCTCAACAACTTTTTTATCTGAGTCAATTTTGAGTCAACTCACTTGACTCAACAAAAAAAATTGAGTCAAGTTTGAGTCGACTCATATTTTCATTGAGCCGCTTGAGTCATGAGTCAATTCAATGGGAAAATTAGCTCCTTGTTTGAGTCAGAGTTGAGTCAGGGCTTTCTGAAGTTAAATGATGAGTCGAGTCGGCAATTTTTTTTTAGTCGAGCACAACCCTGCTGATGAGAACGTTGACAAAAAGGTACCTTTGTAATATCCCTGCAATATCCACTATTCATGACCATATACCGACACAAAGCCCATCGTCTACCTGTCTAATCTCACCTGAGTGGAATAGTGGAACCCCAGCGCGCCGTACATGAAGGCGAACTCGAGGTACAGGTCGGCCACATGTTTGCCGTTCAGCGACAGGGGCAGCACGTCAATCACCATCATGGCCTGGATGATCTCGTGGAGGTGCACTTCCACCATGCCTGGCGAAGGAGGTAAGTTATATCACGGGTGGACGTAATGTATAAGTTATAACGATTGGAATTTACACGCAACTCTCTCAAAGAAAATGAGTCTTACGATGAAAATACTGACCATATTAGCCGTTTTCACGACGGGCTGTCCAGCGAATGCACCTGACTTGACCAAATCTGCACCTAATTTCTTTTACAGCAAATATCTTCATTTTATGAATTTATTTCAGTGTTTTAATCGATGATGCTCTCTGATTATATGACAAATCAGGAATATAAGCAATTAGTGCAGCCCTAGCTGATAGCTGCTAAGAGACACACTGAACCTGATTTGACCAGATCTGCACCTAATCTGTACCAGATGTGCACCAAATGTGTACCAGATGGCCGTCGTGAAAACGGCTATTTAAAATCAATTTCTCCTTTTTATCGAAGAAAGTTACTGCATGGTTTTTGAGATGGTGGTTTTCGAGTAGCAAACCAAACTTATAACGTTCATCGGAAGTAGTTGCACCACACGGGTATACTTATGTACGAGAAGCGAGCGGAGATAAATAAGGCGCTAGACAGATCCTGCGAAGGGTCAACGTCGTCTCACGACTTGCTTCAGATAATGCAATAATAAAAAGAACTTATCTCAGCCTTAAACAGTGTAACTTTCACCAGCACTTACAAGCAAAAACCCACGAAGAAATTTAGGTTTCTATAGCATAGCTAAATATGTGTTTACCCATGATCCGCGGCTCCACCGCTGGCCCGTCACTTGCCAGAGATCTGTACAATTCCAGCTTCAGTACGTTCTTTGGGTCAGAGAGCTGCTGAGGAACCTGGAACACAGTCACACAACAACGGTCAGAATATCCGTCAGCAGAATTCCTGGCATTGCTTTGTTGATCATTACGGTTGTTTTAGTCTATTTTATTTTTTGGCGCTCGCCTTTCACTTTCACTATCCTAAAAGTCAAACATGAGAAATTATATGAAAAGTGCAATTAGCTAAATGAATGGTCATTGGTCATGCTTGAAGCATATACCTACACGACGTACCTAAATATATCGTGAAACAAATGTGTGGGGTTGCACTGCCCAATGCCCATGCAGTCTGTTCTCCTTACTGTCAATGAGAAGTGTTTGACCTCATCCACGGCCACTCCGGTGAGGACGTTGACGACCTTGTCCTTCTCACGCGTGTGGGAGTGCTTGTGCGAGCCTCTTTTCCACCCCGTTTCCTTATAGACGTCGCCGATGGATATCAGTATTTTGAACCGAGACCCTGGATCTGACAGGTCCTCGTCTATAGAATGAGAATGTCGAGAAGTCAGAAAAAAATATGATTATATTGAAAAAGATTTGCTATATGTAGAAATGTTCAATCCTCATACCTTTCATAAACATACGCTTATTGGGGACTGTGGAGGAAAATTACTTAAATTGAACTTTAGCTTCAGCAGAGGACAGTCCTTACCATTGGCGGTTTGATCAAAGCTCTTCATGTTTAGTAGGTGCATTGCCAATAGCCCCACCTGTAAAAGGAGACAAAGAATTGGTGAAAGCCAGCCATTGATGTTTCCTGACAGGTACACTCGGGGGCAGATTGATGTTCCACCACTCCCTACCCATCGGGCTCCCATGGCTCAGCACTGGCTGCTGCCAGTGGCAGCACTGGCAGCACTGGCACTGGCAGGCAGTGCTGAGCAGTGCTGAGGGCAGGCAACACTGACAGCAGCCAGTGCTGAGCCATGGGATCGCCCGATGGGTAGGGAGTAGTGGAACATCAATCTGCCCTCGAGTGTACGATTGATATATAACGTACCAGATGAAAAATGCATGCAAATCTATGAGGGATAATGCATGAGATCGACTGAACTCAAACAGAACGGTACATAACAGCTTTTCATGCCAGATGTCAATAGCCGTTTTCATGACGGGCTATCTAGGGAATGCACCAAACTGACCAACTCTGCACCAAATGACAGCCAAATGTGTACCAGATAGCCGTCGTGAAAACGGCTAATACGGAAACGGCTAATACGGCTAAACGGCTAATAGGGATGATATGTGCATGATGGCAGTCGAATATTGTACTCGCAACTTTATATTGTCATCAGATGTGCATCTTAGAGTTAACCACACAAGAACTTCTCAGAGGTCCCGTTTTACACATACACTCGTATACTATCTAAATTTCTAAATTTGCATCATCGCATCTTTAGAAGTGTTGTAACGTTAAATTTAATGTTGAAAATAAAGCATTATTTTTCTTTCTTTCGTTTTCCACGAAGGTGCAATATGCATTGTGCAATATGCAATATCTAATATGCATTCAAATTCAGCCTTACCGGCGCTACTGGCGTCTTGTTGCTCTGCGGATCCTCTTCGTCGTAGGTGTCGGCACGCTTCTTGGCGGCCTCTCGCAGTGCTTCAGTGGTGTCGGTCGACAGCACCTCGTCGGCCTCGTCGAACTCACTACCCGTCACCTTGCCGACGGTGCTGGCGGCGATGTAAGGCGCCAGACTCGGGTCGCGAATCGTGGTGGGATCAACATGTAGTTGAGGGTTGAGAGTCATCTTGAACGATTGAGTCGTTTTGCTGTCAAGTGTATGGCGTGATTAAACTTTGAGACTCAAACGATTACTGTTCGTGATTATGCCGTGAAAAAAGGCTCCACAAAGACCTCAGTATAAATCTGGTCAAGTTCTGGCAAATGCTGTTAATTGCAACTTTATATCGAGAAATTCACTTCTTGTTTCACTTTGTTCATTGTTTCACTTGATTTTTTTTCACATATGAGCGTCATGAGCGAGCATCATATGAACGTTGTCATAGTTACTGGAATTTAAACACGTGCAATGTATTAGGTCCTACGTCGCTGTTCTCAAGATCTGACACATTCTCTTCATCTGCAAAAGCGCTCTGCTGTTACGTGATCCTCGCTTTACCTAGGCCTGGTTACTCAGGTGATTTACCCTGCCAATATGTTCGACATTTTAACATTAGTCATATGGAGCTGCATAATAAAAATAGCTTCGGCGTCCTAAAACTAATCGTAAGAGCTCTACCAAGAAATTTCATAGTGTGACTCCTGTGAAGATTAATTCATTCTAGCGTGAAAACTAGCAATTTCCGGTCTCGCACCCTTCCCAACCGTCACGGCATTAACGAAATTACTCTTCGCTTGGCTGCAGCTCTGAAAGTGAATCTAGCCCCCACCCCCACACCATCTGTCGCATGTTGAACGGCATATTCAACTGGACAAAGCTATCGTCTGCCACTCCGTTCTCGGCCGACTTTCTCCGCGGCAGGAGACGGGTCGCACTCTGCGGAACGACGCCACCTCCGCATCGGACTGCAGTTCGCGAGCCGAGCCCTTCTAGACGAAAGTGAAACGCCACAAACAAAAGCCGAAAACACAGAGGACAAAGAGACGAGCGACAGGGGCGACAGGGCGGACAATTGCCCGGATCTGTGTCTGGTATAGAACGCCGGACGAGTGGTGACCAAACCTCAGTTAGTGCCGGGAGACAGGTCGTGCTGGTGTCAAATCTTGTGCTCTGATATTTTGCACTGCCTTCAGTTGTCAGCTCCTGTATCTGTCCATTTTGAATCTCTAAGGGAGCTTCACTGGGAGCTCTCACACAGAAGTGCGGGTCTGTCCCAGGAGACCACATCGCCCCGAGCAATGCTCTTTCTGGGGGTGCTTCTTTGGTCGGCTCTGCTGGGGGCATATTCCGCTCAGGTCGAATCCCGGATAGAACAGACAGCGGTCGCCAATGTGGGGACAGCGACAGCCAATTTGACCTTATCCAGGTCGGAGCGTGACCTCTCGTGGATCACCTCCTGGTTGCCATGGCGACGCCAGGAGCCGGGGACCACCACGGAGCTGCCGGGGGTCAGCAGCAACGACAGGAAAGCCAAATGTGAGTGCCCAACTGTTTGGAGCTTTGTGGTGTTTGTGACAAGCAGCAAATGGATGGCAGAAAGCTTTCTTTTCATGAAATTCATTCGGTTATGACATGACCAGAAAATTGATGTCTGTTTGCGCATACATGGCTAAATTGATCGCCACAGATGCGAGTTGATAATCGCTCACACGGCTTACTTCGCATAAGAATGCGGGGAAAACATCGCGAAATCATTACAAGCGAGACAAATAGGCATCCGCATAGTCCGTTCTCCACACAAATGGTAATAGTTCCTCGCGACTTATCGATCGGGCGAGCAGCTACCAAACGTACCTGCCGTTCTTAGATAGGCGTGTCCATGCATTCGCTGTATTTATTCGCACAGTCGCCAAGGGTGTAACATGCCATCAAAATGCATAAGCATTGAGCAATGAGCATATATGATAAAGCTCAGTTTCTTCTAGCATTATGCCGTCACCTTGAATTTGTTCAACAAACCGGAGCTCGTGCTGGAGAGAAGCCAAGACGACGGAGGGGGACTCTGACACCGTGCCAATGTCACATTGCCATTTCCACGATTCGAACTGGTAACACATCTGCCATAGAGCTTATCGAAAGATTCTAAGCTTTGCATAGGTAATGCCTGTGCCTAGCGCCCTTGTATGTAGACAGACAAAGCCTGTCTAATGTTTAATTTTAGTTGCAAAGGAAACGACCGTGCCGCCGTTCCCCGCGACATCAACGGAGCATGAGTCACTAGCACCGAGCCCGAACTTGGCCATGCAGTCATTGCGTCATGCAATTGTTCTCGGCTGTGCCGTGTAGCGTGCATGCTGTGCATGCTTTTTAGCACAAAACCATGACCGTCGGTCCATTATATTCGTGCTTAACCCCTTCTAAGGCACGTTTCTTCCTTTGATGCGATTTATTCAATATTTCAATAACATTGCCGTTACCAGGTGACTCCAGCTATCGCTTTTCAGTCACACTCAGTCACACTTTTCAATCAACATGGCCTTGGTCACACTACTCGTCTGTCTCCCCCAGTCCTGAACATCTTCACCATAGTGCGGTTCGCCAACGAAGAGTGTAGGGGCGACAACAACCTGAACGGCACGTGCGTGTCCCCTGACGAGTGCCGCAGCCGAGGAGGTCAAGAGGCTGGGAAATGCGCCAACGGCTACGGCGTCTGCTGCACCAGTGAGTTGTACGGGGAGGAGAGGACACACCAAGGCGAGGATTCGTCGATCATATTGGTGTGCTAAGAGAAAAGTTCGCAAGGTTCCGGGACATAGCTCTGAATGTGTTATGCATTTCCTAATCTAATTGCTTCTCAGACGGGCGACCTCAGTGTCATTCGCTTCACTTTTGTATTTCCCTTGTTCCCGAAACATTACTTTACAAGTGTTAACCTATACACTATACGGCATACAAAGGTTGATCTGATTACCGACTTCACTCGTATAAAAATCGGAGCTGGTTTTATTCATTATTGCTTTTTGAATAGTGTATCTTGTGAAAATCCGCCAGGGAAATGAAACAATCCGAAACGGATAACTATTTCTGCATCGTTTAGTTGCATTCATTAATGATTTTTTTTAATATTACGTAACGCATAAGAAGTAAATCACAATGATTGTCTTGCCCACAGTGACCGGTAGTTGTGGGAACTTCACGCGGTACAACAACTCCTACTTTGAAAGCACCGACGCCGGCAACACACCAAACTGCCAGTAAGTTGAATAGCATTTGTTTTACTTTTATCCTGGGAATATGTTGCAGCTGTGGAAGATCGATAGGTGCAGCATTATTACGGCAAATATTTTTGCTTGGAGAGGCAACGTTTCACTTCCAAAGCACCCATCACTCTTATTCAGAACAGTTAGACGAAGCCTCTTGCGAAACATGTTTACCTGTGCCCCTGGGTTTCCTCATTTTCAGTTACTATATGTGTCTATGCTTTATATAGATATAAACTGTAGATGCCTTTAGTTGCCATTCATTTTGTCACCACCGAGCCACATACGCTCCTTTAGCCAGCAGCACCCTTCTCTCCCATTGGTGACCTCCACCGCTCTGACGCCAGGTTCACCGTTTACCGAGACTCCTCCGCGCGAATCTGTCAGCTCCGACTCGACTTCGACACTTTCCGGCTGGCCCAGCCGGACAACGCCTCGGGGCAGTGCACAACGGACGCGTTCTCTGTGTCCGGAGTGGTGAATGCCGTGCCCGTTATCTGCGGAGAAAACTCGCGAACACACAGTAAGTTGAGAGGGAGTGGGAGGGAATGGAAGGCAATGAAAGGGAATTGAAGGGAATGGTAGGCAATGGGAGGCAATGGGAGCGAATTAGAGGGAATGGGAACAATGGGAGGCAATGGGAGGCAATTGGAGGCAATGGGAGAGAATGGGAGGCAATGGGAGGTAATGGGAGGAATGGGAGGGAATGGGAGGGACTCAGTTTACCGGGAGGGCAGGTGAGCCCGGGATGGGGCATCATGGGATGGTCGGAATTTAGCTCACAGATGGGTGGGTGACATCCGGCAGCAGGTCTGATTCTCTGACCATGAACAATGCAAACTACAAAGGTAAGAATGCGGCCTTGACGACTGAGGCTCAAAAAAAAAAAAAAAATAGCGGTTGCTAGCTGTAAGTATGTAAGTTCTGAGTTGTATGAGCGACCTTGAAGTAACTCCGGAGTCCGGTACATGCATAGTAATAACGCATCGGATCGTTAACCCGGCACCGCCTGGGCTATTTCCGTACCCACGACAGCCTGGGGGGGGGGGGGTCGGATCCGACCCCCCCCCCTATTTTCTCGAGAACCAATGGTCGTATCGAGCCCCGCGAGGCGGCGTTCGAAAGGTCTCTACGAGACCTTCCCAAAGCACTCTTAAGATTTTAAGATTGAGGTCAACTTTCGGGTCAAGGTCAGGTCAAAGGTCAAATTCAGGGGTTTTGCATGATTAGGCTTACGGACAGCGGAATCGATAGCTGCTGCTCGAAACTCACCAAAAATGACCTCAAAGGCCTAGTGAAGGTACCATGTGTGTATAGGGGTCATACTAAGTACGGGTCAAGGTCAGGTCAGGTCACGAAAGGTCACGGTTTTCAATTTCTGCTACATGGGCGTGCGACACATGTTTTATGGCTTATTTTTCACGCCGAATCCGATGGTAATGGTTATATGTGACCCCAAGTCACTGTGCTGGTGATAAGTGTGCATTGAAAGCATAAAAAAATCGTTTATACTATACGAGGGCTGAGAAAAAAGGTCAATTTTTCAACTTTTTATTTTTGACATAAAAATGCGCTTTTCTAGACGAGCCTTGTCCCCAGGAATCTAGTGGTGCCATTTGTTTTCACATGCGATGTTCAGAAGTACCTCTAATTCACGAAAATGCTTATGACGTCACCATGCCCTATACATGTTGGAGCTATTTTTTACAATTTGGGGGTCAAAAATCAAGATAGAAAGTTGAAATTTGGGGCATCTAATGTTCTAATAGAGCTCTACAACATATACTCCGGTTTTTTGGAAATTCCCAAAATTTTGGATTTTATTAGCTGTTTTCCAAAACATATAGTTTTTTGAATTTTTAGGGGTGAAAAACGCATTTTATGGAAAATCCGAGATAGCCATTTTAAAGAACTCGTTGAGCTGCGTCTTTTCATGTCCTTAATTGGCAATTTGCTTTAAACCCTGATTTTTGGCGATTTTTTAAACATTTACCACTTTTTGACTAAAAACGCCATGTAGTTACATCACTAAAATCGATATATCTCAAAAAAATTTGGAAACTTTTTCTTAAAAATTGCACAGGAGACGTCAAATTGATGGGGGAGAAGGTATGCCAAGTTTCAAGTAGATAGCGAAAGTGGTTCATGAGTTATTCAAGAAAAACGGAGGGGGGGGGTCGGATCCGACCCCCCAGGCGGTCGCGGGTTAAATGCATCGCGAATACTAAACACAGCCCATCCAAACGGTGGCCTCGGGTGGATCCGGTTTTACCAGCCAGCGCAGTTACGGGCGGGAGATGACTGGTAAATTTCCTCTACCCACACCGCCCAGCAATGCGACACGGTAGTCGAACCGACACCGGACACCGTCCTGTTGATTGGCGAGAGATGCCACGGACAGTCGGACACCCACTGGATGAGCGGCCGGAGGGATCGTATGTCACGTGTGAGCCGCCGGGAATTATATTGGCATTTCGATCGGTACGCTATTTATGACACTGATACTATACAAAATGCAGTTATCGGGGAGATGTTAGCTGTAAATTCACATAATACAAATTGATATGATGCTAGTTGAAAGAACAGTATCGTCTTATGGACTTACACATGTTCTGAGTGCTTTAAATGTCCATTTTCACGATGTTTTTCCAGCCTGGTTTTTCTATCTAGCGGTGAAAACCGACCCGAATTGCCTCGCGTTCAGCATGACAATGCATTACACCCTGCCGGTTGTTGAAAGCCACTGTGATACACGGCTCGATCAGCGCTAGTCACGGGATTGTGCAGCCCCACCCATTTTAGTCCAGTGGGGACAGACATTGCCCTGTCATCGTGGAAAGCCCTGGCCACACAACCAACCAAACAAGCTCAGCTGTTGACCAAGTCCGAGCCATTTCGAGTCATCGACCGGGCTAGGAGATGTCTTGGACTGCTTTCTAGTCACTTTCTTTGCGCTATTTAACTCACTTTCCAACTAAACAATGAGCCATTAGAAGTGAAGAATTAAATGTGGGGATCATGTCAAGTCTTCCTTTGATCAGGCAGTATAGGCAGCATGGCATCATCATTTGTTTATGTATGTTTTATGATATTGTCTCGGTATTGCCTGCATTTACCCGGTAACTGACACAATTATTCGTTTTCTACGACACTAGCACTAATTTGGCAGGCTTTGACCGCACTTATCAATAAAAAGGCTTTCTCGCTGTGACTACTAAATGCTTACATCACCAACGCCACGCCATACACGCCAGATCAGATACCTACTCGGACCTCACCTGCACATATGTACAATGACAATGGCGCTTTGCTGACTGCTGTAGATGCTTCGCTTTATCTTTTTTATCAGTCGACGTGCTTATAACTGCATCTTCGTCATATCTCATATCTAACGCCTCTTTTTACGATTCCAGTGTATATCGACGTGGACCCGAACTCTGATCGAACGGTGCTCCAAATATCGACCACGCAGGGCTCCACTCAGACCACTACCCTTGCCCGAGACTGGAAGATCAAGATTCAGCAGATCGAGTGCAACAGCACCACCAGAGGTGAGCCCTCAGAGCCTATGCTGCTGGGACGCGACCGGCGCACGCCTGAGCAAGGCATCCTCTGCTCGCGCGCCATCTGTCCAGGTCCAAACAGCGCCACCTGCAGGTATGCCCTTTCTTAGGCCTCCCTAGCACACAGGGGCGCGGGAACTACTTTCCGACTGTGGGGGCACACCATAATAGAGATTAACCTAGGGTACCCCCAAATCTAGTTTTCTCACCGGTTTTAGGCCACTTATTTTTCACCCCTGGGCTTTTTCAACAAAAAAAAGAAAACATTTGCAAAAAAGTGTGGTATTCTGTCTCAAAGCTGTGGGGGCACCGCCCCCACGGCCCCAGAGTTGGGGGGGCAAGCTGCCCCCACTGCCCCCCCGGCTCCCGCGCCTATGCTAGCACAGTTGTAGGGCACTGGTGCGTTCCTGAGGTCCCAGGGGCTCACTGTGAGGTAGCATAGTGACCAATGTGCTTAGAAATTTCCTCGACAGGAAGAGATTTTTCGTTTATTTGTCTTGATCTCGGAATAGCGTCTCGACAATCAAATCATCTTTTTTTTTGCATGATAACTAATTGCTTCTGCTGCTAAAGAGAAACGCCAATTAATCTGAAACTGAGGAGCTGGAATCAAGTAATGTTCTTCAATCAGTGTCTGTGTCTCTTGATGTTGTCACCGTTACCCGTTCTGCCGCCAGCACCGTCGGCCTGTCTACAATACTACACGGGAGTCAGCGGGACTATAAAGTCGTTTAATTTCGACGGCTCCGAGATAGGTCCACACTTGGCATCACAAAGTTACTCCATATGTATTCGGGACGAAGCGCTATACTGCAGCATCGAATACATCGCGTCGTAAGTGCGGGCTGACTCATATGACAAGAGGCAAGTGATGTCTAATAGGAGGATAGATGGAAAACTTTTTTTTAGGATACCAAATATTATTTCGTGGCCGATTTCTGGTTTTACTTCGAATGAAACATTTACTTTGATGTCTATAGTGAAGTCTATATGTCGTCATTCATCAGAATAAATTTCGTTTTCGGTGATTCTGTGATATATTCTATGCTATGATTAGTCTACGTAATTCTTTTCGTAGCCGTGTAACAGCACGGTCCATATTAGGAGCTGTATAGCTGCATATTTGATTACATTATTTCGTCTCATTTCAGGCCAGTGACAAATCCATTTCGATTAGGTCAGCAATCGTCCTCTCAGAAAAGTGACCAATGCCTGAACGACTTCCTCATAATCGCCGGCATATCGCAGGTAAGACGTTTGCAATTTCATGTGATGAATTCATAACTATACATACTTATCCATGTATGTATACTATGTATACTTATCCAGCATTCATGTAAAATAATGAACCTTCTTTGAAAATACATAAATTTTATGGGCAGCTCATTTTAGATCGCCGAAACTGACACTGACACCAAAACCGACACTAGCACTCTGACGCTGACACTGACACTGACACTGACACTGACACAGACACTGACACTGACACAGACACTGACACTGACACTGACACTGACACTGTGTCTGTGTCCCCAGACCGGCGTGCTACCTCAGACTGGACAGACAGGCGGCACCACCAACAACCAGGGCTACGACCGGCACTGCGGAGGGACCTGGGCGGGAACCAACGGAGCCCAGGCCACGGCACCGACACCGGCCATCAGTAAGTAATGAGCATACACATGCAAATTCTGTAACCGGCCACCGGTACCGGTTATTTGTGGAGTAAGTCTATAGATTTTCATCAATAGTTACCACTTACCATTGAAGTTACTTGCTATCATGTTGATTTTATACATAAGAACCTCATTCATTTTATTTGTATGACATGTTTGAATGCAATTTGCTCAATAAGTGAAGAAAAATGTTGGTAGTGCTCAACAACACATTGGTAGTGCTCAGCTGAACATTGGTAGTGCTCGGGCACTCCCAGGCCTATACAAAACGACGCCCCTGCGGTTATCAATCAGTAAGTAAAGTAACCGGAGATCAGGCCACGGCACCAACGCCAGCCATCAGTAAGTAATGCCAGTATAGTAACCGGCATCGGTTATCAGTAAGCATAGTAACCGGAGCCCAGGACACGGCACTGACACCGGCCATCAGTGAGTGCGAGAGCATGCAGTCGAGCACGGGTCACGGCAGACCACGGTCTCTCTAGTAGTGGTCTAGTTATAAATGGGATTGTATCGTTGCTAAGGATTGCAGAACGAATGTTGGAAATCTATCATCAACAACGGTATCAAATGTATCTTGCGACGTTCTAACTTCTGTCATCGTTGAATTGTTATGTATAATTGTACGTTTATCACCATGGGACTCGCAGACCGTTTTGTGGTATCAAGTAGTGACGCATAGGCATTCGTAATAAGAGCGTACGTTTATCCCAAACTCATGTCTATAAAAAATCATTTTTATCGAAAATTTTAAGCTAACTCTAATATTCTACTATGCATTTGATATGATGAAATCACCGATCTAATATTTATGTTTCTTTTCAGCATACATGAAGCCGTACGTAGTCCGTGTGCGCTTTGACGACACAGAGGGACAGGGCGAGACGGACAACCGTGGCTTCTCGCTCAACTTCATCCAGAAACCGTGCAGCGTGCTGGGACGCAGGAAGAGGGCTGCTCTGCCCTGGAGGATGGCGCCCTGGGGCAACGGCACAGTGCAGGGAGGGCGGGCGACCTGGAAGACGCTATACTAAGAAGAGAAGCGCAGTGAGCTGTACTTTAAGCAGCCGGTGGACGGAATAAGACAGAGATCAATCGAATAGTCAATGACCATGCCATGGATGTGCTGTCGTTATAGTTGTTGTTGTTGTTGTTGTTGTTGTTGTTGTTGTTGTTGTTGTTGTTTGTAGTTGTTCTTTTATTGGCACAGATGCACAGTTATTCAACAATGAACACTCTTTCTGCCAATATGTAATATAAACTCAGCGACCATCGCTGTATAGGCTAAACTTCTCTTTCTTTCTTCTATCCTCTTCTCTGGCCTTTTTCCACGGATGAGTGTTAATGTTCCCTGGGGTCCGGGAGCCGACCAATCTATTTATTTATTACTTTTGAAGAAATAAGCGAAAATCAACTTATCTGTCTTTTTGCAGGATATATAGTTAGTTGATACTGCTGTAGCTGCTGCAATGCGAACTGCATATTTGCATTTTGCATATCTCGATTGCATATTTGAGGCACTTCATTTTATATCTACTAACTAGTAGGACAATGCAATATGCTATCTGACTCACCGACCGCCCCTCACCACACCTCACGGGACTGTCACACTTCACAGCGCGACCATGGGGAGCGGGGATGACGGGTTGAGGGTGGGGGAGGGCTGACAGCGGGGAGGGTAAGGGAGGAGGGAGGGCACTGTCGTCACACTCACAATGTCACGGGAACCCTGCCCTGGGGTGAAAAGGTTACACAACAAGATTACTTTACACAACACGCTGCGTAGTTAAACTTCGTCGGCTGTCAACGTGTCGGTCATTGAAATGATGCATATCCGATTGTGTAGTGTATGCTTTTTTGCTTTGTATTTGCTTATTTTTACGAACGTAACAATAAAAATATGAAATATGTACTCTAAAGAATTCCGTGGATGCATGATTATTGTTTTCTGAGACCATCGACAGCCATGAGTAGGGTAACTGTGGGGAAAACGCACCCCTGGGTTAAACGCCTCCCCTAAAAAAATCGTAGATCTTATCGACGGATAGGTGTTTTATCCTGTCTTTCAGATCAGTCAGCTGCTTGTTAACGTAGTTCTCTATTTCCGGTTCTGCGTCTTGAGGAGCAGCGTGGGTAGGTGCTGATGTTGGTTTTGGGTGTTGTTTTTGTTGTTTTTACAGAAGATTCCTAAGCTTTTGATGCCCTCTTTATATCACAAAACTTGCTATTGTGCACATCACTCAAAACTGCGTTTTATTGTCATTCTGTTGAATTTACTATGCTGCGGCGTTAGTGGCGCGTTTTTTGTCAATATTTTGTTGACCGGAAATGGAGTGGATGGGGAAAGACGCCTACTCGATGCATGGGGCAAGACGCCCCCAGTTTTCTGAAAGGGGGGCGTTTTGCACGGTGGTGAGAGTGCAGGGTAGCGCCCTGTAGGTCGGGGCCGAAAAGGCCTCTCCCTGTCCTTTTTTGTTGATATATCCTAAACGACTGCAGATATCGTAACCAAACTTTCAGGACTCCTCCGGGCATCCATTTTACACATTGCAACAACATTTTATTCCAAAGGCTATGATAGGTTGACCACAAATGACGTCAGAATGACGATAAGTTCTGCCATGTTCATCATTTTCTGTTGATGGATGGGGTGGGGGCTCTTTGCACATGGGTGTGGGCGTATTACCCAGGGTGTGGGGCAAAACGCCCTTTTGTAAGGGTATGCGGAAACCTTTTTGGGGGGTTAAATACCACACGCAAGTGTCTTTTCTTGGTCTCAAAGCGTAGTAAAAAGAATGAGCTACATGATGGTGCCCAGAGGTTTGAGTAATCTGGGTTGGGTTGAGTGTCAGAAGGTTTCGCGCTTAATGGGGGCGTTTTTGACCTATTCACCCTACCTACCTGTTATGAGACTAACACATAGTTGATAGCTGAGATCGCACCCATTAGTTGTGACTTGTGACGGTGACGACTACACTTGCTCATATTGAATGAAGACAAGTTAGCTCGAAAGAAACACAAATCAATACCAAATTCAATAAGGTCATTTATGAATTTAATCCAGCTGTCGGTTTTTAATGCTGTTTTCTCATGCCTGATGGTCGCTTAGCGGCTAATTGTCCAACGGACATTGAGCAACAACAGATGCATTGCAAGCCTACTCAATACATATGATCATTGCATCAAATTTTTGCGATCAATATTCCATCGGGCGGATTCATAAAAGTGAGGAGCAATAAAATAAATTGAGCTGAACTAAACTGAGCCCGATTTTCAGATCAAGCAGCAGAGCAGAGGTCGAAGTTAGATTGCGGAGACATGTCGCATTTATTTTCCATTTCTTTGCCGTCTTTGCGCCATTTTCGCATATTTTCTTTCTGTATATTATGTATAAACGCGGTTACTTATAACGCAGTAATTAATCATGTCATACATATCAAACCTGGCTGTCTCACTGCCTTTATATGTAGGATCACCGATCACCAGTCATAAGGATCGGTGCACCGTTTTCCACAGCCCCAGGGGCAGCAGATCTGGCCGGTTTTGCAGCAGTCTTCGTTTCTGATGCAGTGAACACACTGGGTGTACTCGCAAGTGGAGCCGATGGTGTACCCCAGCGGGTTGCAGCCGGGAATCACGTCTGGGAAATGGAGGAGAAGGTTATTCACAATACGGACGGATTGAACTGCTATATTTCGATTTTCTTGATGCCATCCATGATACCTAAGTATTGACAAAATAGATATGTATATACAGGCGTTCAAATATAGCAACTTTTATCCATCCACTAGTGAAAACGTATGAGAAGGTGAATAGGGAGAAAAAGATAGTTAGCACAATCATCCGTATTTATAATTTCAGCTGGGTTCCGCAATTTCGCACGCCATTTCTCCAGTCTCTATGGCCTATTTACACTATGCAATATACAGTAAACACTATATACTAGTATACCTACAGTATACACACATATACACATTCGGAATGGGTTCAATGACCCTTCAATGGCATATAAATGTACCGTAAGGTACATTTATATGCCATTGAAGAGACAATGTATAGTGGTTAACTAAAATCGCTATAAGATGAAAACCGTTTGATATTTTTGTCATTTTTGCTGAGGCCGGTGTGTATTCGAACAGTGAACATGGCAACATGTTCACGAGCCCGAGCAAATATGACAAAAAATCAAACGGCTTTCATTTTATAACGACTTCACTTAACCACAACATACTGTCTCAAATAGGCCCACTGTCTCAAATAGGCCCACCTTACGGTAGTGAAAAGAGCACTTACTTGTTGCGCCGTTGTTGGGCAGAGCTACGGCCATGGTAGCGGCCCACAGCATCAGAAACAGCACCATAGAGCGTCTGCCGACCATGATGGCGTGCTGACTGCTGACGAATGAAGTCGGCGCAATACGGCCATCACGTGGCATTTATAGGGGCCGGACAGGCTGCAAGGGAGGCACGGGGAGGCACGGGGAATCACCCGATCGTCGAAATTCTGATGACTGGCGCATGTCACCAGCAATTGCGGTTTTACCGACGTTTTAAATGTTCGCCTGGGCCTAAATCATGTGATATATCTGTTGGTTTATGATAAAAAGGAGTATTTTCGCTAAAGAAATTGCATGCGTCAGTGAATGTGGAAGTGAACGAATAATACAGTGTAGAGAAAATCGGCTGGGAGCCACTTGTAGCTCAAGTGTAAAAAAGTCGACAATAAGTGACGTTAATAGCCTCTCTCGAAATAGCATCTATCGATTAGATCATACTCGAAATTCATATCTTTCTATGAAGGCATGAGATAAGTTAATTGAAATATACTATTGAGAAAATGAATTAAAAAATTATATTTAATGCAATTGACAAGACCGACGCTGTTGTACATATGTACCGTGAGCTGATCCCCCCCCCCCACCCACTCCTCTTAACCCTCGCCCGCACATGCCATTTTCCCATCCTAGAACGCACATGAGGGGGGAGGGGGTTGCCAACCCCCCGCGCCATTTCGTTCCTGTTGGAGATAGAGCTTAGCGGTAAAGACCAAAAAGATTCTTTGGGAAGAGACGAATCCAATGATACCCAGTTTTACCTTCTCAGGTCAGTCATTGACCTTCCAGGTCAGGTCAAACTAAAAAATGTTGCTGTTTTGGGTCACCGTTGGATATCAAGTGCGCTGTTTATCATATACCGATGACGATGCCGTTTTCTGGTGCCAAGCCAGCTAGAACCTTTTTGTCACACTACCCGACAAGGTTTTTGCTGCCGAGGTCATTTCAGGTCAAGTTAGGTCAAGGTCAATTATATGTGTTTGTATGTCTGTGTGTGTCTGTGTGTATAATGATGTGTGCACCGATTGTCTATGTGTCCATATTACATGAAATCATGATCTGAGAAGCTTTTACCAAAAATGCAGTAAAAAAAAAACTTCACAAAAAGCAAATTCCGCTTGCCCAAAACGCTATTATCTTAGATGACCTAGGTTGGCCTGGACCTTGACCTTGACATCTGTACATCGTCGAACAACATGTTCCATGATAGGTGGGAGGTAAGACTGGCAAAAAAGGCCGAAATCAAGGTGTCAAAAGCTCACAAGGCCCATAGCCAACGCAAGATGTTGAGAATTGGCCATTTGGGTCATGACATGACCTGAAAACAAGGTCATATCTCCGAAACCAAAAACCACAGAAACTTGAAATTTTCAGTGGACATCAAAAAAGGATAGAGGAGCAGCTATACGAAAAATCAGCCTTCTAGCTCTAAAAATGTCGAGTGCAGAGCAGAAAGACTACCTGGGGGGGTGGCAACCCCCCCCCCCATGTGCGGGCGAGGGTTAACCCGCGCCCGGCTGGGGGTCCTGGATTTCCACGCCCTGCTGGGGGGGGGGGGGGTGTTTGAACACCCCCCCCCCCTTCTAGCTCGGCTCCTGGGCCACGCACTATGTTTTAACTCTGGACCAAAACTGGCCAGGGCTCATAACTAAGAAATTATATGAGATACAGACGTGTTTTTGGGCTCAAACGAAACGTTGGAGACTAAGGATCATTTAAAGTGCAAAATGTGTCGGACCAGATGCTTATGTACTTGTTTATGACGTCACACGTGTCACGAAACATATAAAAATATTGTCATGTTCTAGCTATGAATGCACGAACATTCAGGTATCTATAATTTAGAATAATCGCAAGTCTTAGCAAGGCTCATCGACGAGGCAAGTCAAGTTTGGGGACATGACCTAGTTAATTAGCGTTGATGACCTCAGGTGACCTTGAATGTTCTTATACTTATAAGACTTATTCATATAGGACCTACAATCTTTATATTTATTTCAAAAACATTTTTAAACGTATGTTTTGATATCAACTTAATGTTAACCCGGTCTCCACTTTAGTAAGTCCAGAGTCTTGTATGTTTTACGTCACATGACGTCAGGGGCGGATCCAGCTTATCCGTTTGGAGAGGGCAAATGTTTCCGACCCATTCGGCGACCCCGACCCACCGCCGCGCCGGTGACTTTACAACGCTTCACTACGTCTGCAACCTGCATGCGTGTAGTTCAGGGATTTCCATCTGTTATCAGCATACCGACCTAAATAATGAGCAGCGAGCGGTCAGCTCCATCCCTCAGAATGGTTGTGACGGAAAGACCTGCTTTTCGTCCAGATAGGCATCGACGCCGTATTATGTTTATCATCACCAAAAGCTTTGGGAGCGGAAAAGGATAGTCTTGCCCACACGACTCAGCAATGGGGAGGGCAAATACCCTCTATGCCCTTCACTGGATCCGCCATTGCATGACGTGAAATGGTAGAATGTATCCCAAAACTTCTTACCAATTCCTATTGTATGGTGCGTTATGTAACATGCAACGTGCACGTAAAAGCACTTCATTGCCATACTAACTGACGCTTACTGCTGCAAACGGATACTTTTTCATAAAGGTGGACAGCACTAATGACACCATACCACCTACGTCGAACGTATTAATACTGACTGAAGAGGCCGATGGTAACCCTGCCGATCATCGTGATCAGCGATGCGTGCTATGGCCGGTCTCATACAGTCACTTTTCAGTTCACAGTCCCATCGCAAACTGGGCACAATGCATATTTTATTGCGCTCCATCAGGTACTAAGATATGTTTATAAACTATCAAGCAAGCATGTGTAGCGACCATACAGCTCCAGAGCCCATCTATGAATTTCCTGCAGTAGCCATGGAGTGGAAAGTTCCTGTTATAGACCTTTAGGTACTATTTACACCGATAATGCTGTTGATATTTAAGAAATGTATATTTCATAGGAATGCTAGCAGTTTTTGAATGAACAACTGTCACTCACCGACATTGTCCGGTCTCCAGTTCCGGAGACCCTTTGTTTCCTTCTCGCGACACATGAAAATGCAACTGGCACGTGTCGTGGGGGGTCGTGCCGTCAGCTGATTACGCCCCAGGGTACGGCAGGTCGCACACAGGTCGGCGACCTTCCATTGGCCACCAACTCGTCACAATAGACGAGAGAATGAACGAGGAGTACTAGCATTTTCCCTTAACGCACGCTAGAGCCCGTGCCATGGCTCAGCAGGAACAGACATGACTCATTCAAAAAAGTGTTCACCCCCAACACCGGCGCACTCAGGCGCAGCTGAAATTTTGAGGACATGTAGACAACTCCTTGACCTACAGTGTGGTGGTAGTCTGAGACCGTACACTAGCGTACAATTTTTTGTAGCTCTAAAAGAACATTTACATTTTTCAAAAAAGTGTGCCAATGTAAGGGCTGACGAAAATCAATAAATGTAACACCTATATGCATTATAATTATATAAATTATTACTCATTGCAAAGCCAAAAGTTCGCGCTATCGTTTGGTACCCAAATTATATAGTTTTGTCAATCCAAAGCTCGAAGATGTTGACGTGAAGCAAGGCGACTGTTTCTGCGCTTGTTCGCCGAAGTTTAGCTTTTGAGAGTTGTCTGACTTTGTTGAACTTTTTCAACCTTTTTAAAAGTAAAGAGAATAAAAGCTTCCGTCGTTAAAGATGCTCTGATCATTTTTGAACACGATAGTGGCCAAATGAAAACGTTTAAAAATAGTCGATATTTCGCGTCCTGGCCAGTTTTTGGCCAGAGTTAAAACACGGTGCCACGTAGCGATACGCGGAAGGCGGCGTTCGAAAGAGCGTCAAAAATAATGAGGAAATCACTTCGGTCAATTTTTTGGTCAGGTCAAAGGTCAGGTCACCAGAGGTCATTGAAGGCAAAATTTCGCCGATTTCCAGGTCGAATGTCGACAATTTCCAAGAAGCCAACGCATAACTCGGGAACCAATAGAGCTACAGCGCCGCGGAAAAGCGCATTCGATAGCCCTATTAGCGCCCTTTCTGAGTAATTTTCTCAGATTTGACCTAACGTCAACGGTTTTGCCTGCAGGGGGCAAAAACTGCAAAAATAGCCGATTTTTTCGGAAACAGTTTTTCTGCAATAACTTTTGACCCAAGCCTTGTACGAGCTTACTTTTACCGGCATCGTGTTCCTTTCGTCAAGACGCATCGAATGAACTATAACTTGACCTTGAAAGGACAACTTGAAAATTTGACCTCAGGTCAAGGTCATGACCTGACCGGAAAGGGTCATGTTGCATATCAGTCGATCCGTATCGTCGAGCTGAACACATCTAAGGCGTTTTCATCGCTCTAGCATGCCTCTATCAAAAGTTATTTGGGAAAAACTGTTAGATACCATTGGTGACCTAAGATGACCTCAGGGCATAAACAGGGGTCACGGGCACCATTTTCATGTTCAGTGTGTCTAAACCACTTGTAATTCAGTGTTTGGGAGCGTTTATAATGTCTTTCGTCCAAAAGAAGCGCATTTCAATTTTCTCCCATTGACTTATAATGGGGAGGTTGCAAAATTGACCTGACCTTAGGTCATCGATGTCAAAATTCTGAGATATACATTTTGTACATGCTATTGCTCTTAGCAATCGCTGAAAGTTTCAAAGCGATCGGTCACTCGGTGTAGCTATGACAGACATTGAAACTTTTTATGAGGTGAGGTCACTTCAAGTGACCTGGTGACCTGACCTTGAATGACCTTGGTTTGAAATTTTCACAACATGTGTAGAATTGATGTATGATAAGGTGTACCAAAAACGGCGGCGCTCCGCGCCGCCGTTTTTGAGATATTCGCGAAAAACCACAAGGGGGGGGTGTTCAAACACACCCCCCCCCCCAGCCGGGCGCGGGTTAATAAGTATGCAGAATCATCAGTGACATCTCTCGAAAACATGACAAAAATCCATACAGGGTGTCCGGAAAGTTCTAACGCCTCTTTTGGATGCCGTCTAACGCGCTGTGATTATTGGACATATTCAGCCAATCATCTCAGGCATGAATGACCCCTCGTCGATCGGTCAGCTGGGGTCATGCAAATATGGCCTTGAAATAATGTTCAGTGATGGCCAGATGGGCGAAGAAGCGCCTTGTCGCTCAGCAGATGACTGCGCGGTGGCCGAGTGCGGCTTGAACGAGGTGTGAGTTGCAGCACGATGCGGCGTTTCTCGGCGAATGGTTGAGCAGGTGGCTAATTCCGCATTGGGAATTCCTTAGAAAATATCATCAGGCCAGTACGGCCGCGGTAGGTCAAAACTCAAAACTGCCGAGAACGTAACCGCATTTCAGTGGCGATCGAAGAAAACTCGGGAGTCTGATGGAGAAACATGTTCCATCACCTTCGTTCATCGTCAAATGAATGAATAACAGAGTGGGTAAACGCGAGGTGTTTCTGAACAGGCACATCAACCCGAGGGTCAAGGCGACTTTGACTTGCCCTCGGGCCACATCACTTCGCATTTCATTAGCACGGAGCGCCCTCCAACAACGCCGCTGCCGTCCAAGTCAAACCGACAGGGTTACTCGGCGGGCCAGATCACCTGTGGAGGAATGAGATGAAGCCGCCTTATTCTTCTGACCTCAATCCGCTTGACTAAGGCATGCCAAGCATTCTGCAGTATGAGCTCCAGGCCACCTCTCATCCAAACCAGGAGTCGCTGAAGACCCGCATCATGGCAGCATGGGAGGATCTGGAAATGTCCTACATTGACCTACATTGTCAAGACCCGCAGGCACCTCCACCCCCGCATCGAGGCCGTCGTCGTTGCAAATGGCTGTCACATTGAATAATCAGTTAGCGGCAGGATGTGGCTATGTGTCCCGTTGAATATTTATGAACCACATGCATTCGTTAAAAAAAAGAAATGTTGAAAAACGCCAGGACTTTCCGGACACCCTGTGCATATTACATAATATTCGCAATGTGACACTGACATCGGCCGTCCCATGGGTGACACAATGTCGAGCTCAGTCATCCTGATCCATCTGTCACTGCATTGACGTTGCTGCGTCGTTAACTTCTCTGAATCCGTCCCTCCCCTATCCATTGTATTACCCGTCCGAACCCTTTAAAAGGTCGCGCCGTTCGTTTTGCGTCAGTTCTATTCGCTAAAGAGCCACCATGGCGTACGTACGCTCTATTGCACTTCTGCTGCTGGCCGCAGCTGCCGTTATTTCAGCGCTGCCCAACTCTCCAAGTAAGTCCAAGCCACACATGAGTTTATCATGTGTAGGTAGTGTTTGGCGGCTCCAGACTGGTAAGATCGCGAATACCCATAGCGATCGAATATCCAGAGTCACAAATACAATGAAACTTGAAGTGTTTCTCTGATCATCCAGTTAAATTCCAGTATCTTTGATATGTTTCAAACCATAGACCACTGTATGAATATCTGGACTGCTCAAAGAAATTAGGGATCGGCCATTTGATATAAATATATATGTATAGTCGACTACAGAAAGTTGTTCCACTCCTCAGAAGCTATCAGTTGACCGGAGCGCTAATTTGTGCCGTTTATCACGCAATTAAGCGTGTCGATTGTGAGCACTGGGACAAAGCTATAATTTGTGAACTCAGCCCGTGTGATGCGGCACAGCCTACCACTCCAGGCAAATAATGGCCAGCGAAAAGTGGAATATCATTCTGTAGTCGACTATACCATTAGACGAAACAGTTATGGTATAGACGAAGCTCACGGAAAATTAGCTGTAGAAAAACGTCCAGCAATTGTAGCTAGGTACCTAATAGTGCTAATACTATATTATAATAAATTGTATACCATTGCTTAGACAAGTGATTCGAGGAGCGTTTGAAAAATATTAGATGCCAAAATTTATATAGGGTAAAAAGTTGTAAACCATTAAGAATTTCGTGACAAGGTATAGATGAACGCTCCTCGAATCACTTGTCTAAGCAATGGTATACAATTTAATGTTATGGATATAAGGGCGTATGAATATAGCTTTGAAATGGGTATCGCTCTTTTCAGGTGTCCCAGAAGGCTGCGACCCCCGTGGTTTGGATATAATTACCACGTGCGAGTACACCCAGTGCGTTCACTGCATCACTGCGGCAGACTGCTGCAAGGCCGGCCAAATCTGCTGCCCCTGGGGCTGCGGCAGGCGCTGCTTTGACCCCTAATGAAGCGACTGTAAACGGACGGTCTGAAATGACCGCGCCTTAGCGCATCTCCTTTGCTTGGGTTTCGAAGGAGACGCTGTGTGGAAATGCATGAAATATACGAAGACAGTGTTATAAACAGTGGTGTTATGTACGTCATGAGTCTACTTTGTCGCTTACCTATTGTGTGTAGGGTAAGGTGCCTAATTAGCGACCCCTTAGTTTGAGCCGTCCGTAACTGTGCACGCTTTATGGGTGCCACTGTATTCCTGGATTGATTTTTGGAGATATCCTTCATTTTCCAATCAGAATCTATTCATTGTCTGCCCCAATATCCACAAACTTATTTGTAGAGCATTTTGGCAGACCATTGCAAAAAAAAAAACGGTTATAGGGACTCGTCCCTATTAGTGACCGGTGGGGGTCGCTAATAGGTCTATGGGTTTCCCCTTAGTATAAATGGCGAAAAATGCTACCCTCGAAAAAATGAAATAAGATGCATATAGCATATAGGCAAAGCACTTAATCACTGGAACAGGAGCATTTAGCCACAATGTTTATGTTTGTGGAAGCTGATCACGTAATGCACCAAAGGCGAAAATAGGGCGGAAACCCATTTTTTTTAGGCTATCCCGTATTGTATTGGAGGCCCGCGCTGCATTCAGCACCCCCATGCAGTCTGCCATGACAATTGGTATCACCCACCACACATCGCAAGCTTCAGCAACCTCTCATTTTCCATTCTCTCTTTTCCCAAGTATTTCCCTTATTTAGCTATCTGCGACTATGTCGGGAGCAAATAGGAAATATGGGCTGGGATGGGACACATCTTTAACCACCATGCAGTGCACATCCAAGCGATTTACTACGGGACTATGCTGCAATCAATTGAAAAATGATTGTCGATTCAGAATAAAGAAGGTGCATCATCTTAAAACGTGCACCGCTTTCATCAGACATGGCACAAATACCTACACACAGCTTGGATAAGAAAATGGCTATTTTTATTTAAACTCACCTAAAACGTCTCAACAAAGGCACCGACAACCGGAAAAGAATTGAGATTGCTAAGCAATGTATGGGCGGCAGTCCTATGACATTGTTTTCTCCCCGATTTCTCTCACCAGTTTTTCTGCAGGGAGGTGGGTCGTAAATAGGAAAGGGTCGCTAATAAGCAGCCTTACCCTAACAGGGCGGGGAGGCCGTAAATTGATCTGACCTTAAAGGTTGCCGATATCAAAATTCGAAGACACACAAATTGTTGGTACTGATTTCCTCATACAACAGCCCGTGTTTCTAACCTCTAGGATGTGAAACTGTAGGAATGACAGAATCATAAAGTTTCAAAGGCATGGTTAGTGGACACATAACGTGACCTGACTTTATGTGACATGTGGTCTAAAATTTCATACACGGTGCGAAATTGATGTATCATAAGCTGTAGCAAGTTTCACCTGTGTACCGCGGTTTTTTACACATGCAAAAAAACTGGCAGGTGTGGCCTGGCCAAAAACGCCCCCCCCCCCCCCCGCTCACACACACACACACACACACACACACACACCGGCGAAGGTTAAATCATACTTGTAAGAAATGCGTCACAGCCAGAACGGAGGCCAAACCCGCCCAGCTGGCAATAAGGTTAACTTATTCCAAACCATTCCTGCTACATTTGCATGAATGCTATATAGCAAAACGTTACGTGTTCATAATTATTGCCACTCGCCACTCGCATATGCGTATTTCGCTGGAAACGGAATATGACATTACAACTGCAGGTTGCGATATCTGGCTAAATTGCTCATACTGCAGCAGACCAACGGGTATATTGATCACTGCTAACTGCTAAAGCAAGGATTATCACAGACTGTATCAACTTTCGAACGTCATGCGTCGCCATCGCTCCGTTGAGTCACTGACCTTGACTCCCGTACTGCTGCCTTCGAGCGCCCCGAACTACGTAACACGGTGACGCATTGCAGCGAACGACTGACGGCGGGGCGACCTGCGGCCACCGGCATCGGTTAAACTGTCAGCGAGGCGTGACGACAATTTATCCAGAACGGAAATATTTAACAACAGTAGTCAGTAATCAGTAATTAACAACTACGAGTAAAAGAACAAATGACAAAACGTCTTAAAAAGAGTTATTTGATGTGGTTAAAGGCTCAGTTGCTTAACCCTCGCCCCGTTGGGGGGGCCATTTTGGCCCCCCTGTGGTTTTTCCTAAATAACAAGAAAACGGCGGCGCGCAGCGCCGCCAAATTTTCAGTACCTTCCCGGGCATCAATTTGACACCTTCACACCAAATTTCAAGTCTTAGGTCACCTTAGGTCAGGAGTTATTGAGGTCAAACTGAGGTCATGTTCGAGCAAAAATGAGCAAAAAACATGCAATCTTGAAACGCTCACCAAATCTACAATTATCAAGCAATTTCAAAGTTCTTTATATGGTCTAGTAGACAAAAAGCGGCGCTACAAAACTGCTATCTCGGATTTTCAAAATTTTCGGTTTTTGACCAAAAGAAATTCAAAAAATTGATTTTTTTAGAAAAACTTTGAAAAAATCCAAAAATTTTCCGAATTTCGAAAAAAAAACCGGAATATATGTAATAGTCCCAGCGCTCTTCTATATACATACCAAATTTCAGATCGATATCTCGTTTTTGGCCAAGTTATAGCGAAAAAACTGTTCAAAAATGATGACGTCAAATTTTTGAACTCAATTTTTAGCAATTCTAGTCCACGTACGGCAAAACAAAGACCACCATTGAACTCCCCGTGACAAGCTGCATCGATTCGATACCCATTTTATGCAAAAATATTAACTTTGAAATTTGACCTAATTTGACCTGACCTTGACCTGACCTTGACCTGACCTTGACCAAAACGTGATCTAATCTGGCCCCAAAGGCTGCCTGACCCATATAATCGCATTTGTCATGTAAAATGGATAATAAAACATGTATCACACGACACTTTCATATTGTGACCCCCCCGTGACCTGACCTCTGTGACCTGACCTGGTATCAGTGACCTCAAATAGCAAAATATGTGTTTGAAGAACATTTCCCCATCGATGATTTTCAATGAAATGCATTTTACTCGATTTTACAACGCATTTCTTGAAGTGCCTGTAAACGGTGAAAATTGGACCTTTGACCTGACCTGTGACGTCATCGGTTTGACCTAGGTCAATAAAATTGGGTCACAAGGTAGTTCCCCGTTGGGGCTATCCAACGCCGTTTACCGCTTGTCGCTATGTTGCGTGGTTCTCGAGATCTTAGGGGGGGGGGGGCAAAATGCCCCCCCCCCCAACCGGGCGCGTTGCTCGGCAGAGCCCAACGGGGCGCGGGTTAAATGGAATACCGCAACATATTTCTATTTAGCAGGTAACTGTGTGGTACTAAAGCAAGTATTCTTTTTTTCTGTACAGAGGAGTGTAAAATAAGTAAATTTTCATTATAAATGCAAGTGTGTGTTATCAGTGTAAGTTGTTGGTTCCAGCCGTTTAACGTCAAAATAATTCAAACGTCGAAGAAAGCATGCATATCAAATGACTGAGATGATAAACAGACATTAAATAGATTGTCATATGGCTTTTGAACACTTCGACTATTTACAGCTCTAAGAAGACTTTCTACGCATGAATAGCAAGTCATTTTACAGTTCTCCCTGATCAGACTCGAAAATATACGGTTCGCAAAGTGTTCATTTTTACCACACATGTTCACAATTCAATAACTTGAGCCAACCATTCTTCATGCATTTTTATTAAATCAGCAATACCTTTTAATTTACTGAAAACATTGGCGGTTGGCATAGACAGAGTCGGACATACCTCTCGCCTCTGTTCGAAAGGCAGCAGAGCGCCACAGTGAGCGCTGCATAACAATGCACATGCATCATGTCAATAAACGGCCCATGCATTGCAGCCCCCGGACCATATTGGGACAGCTCCCAACCGTCGCTCTGCCGGCGTTTGAACACAGAACGGTCTGACCAGTAACCGCCGCCCAGTACCGAGAGACGCCCTCGCACTGGGCTAGACGTTGGACTAGAACAGCTGCCTGGGTAGACGACCGGGGGAATCAGGGAACGAGTTCCTTCTTGCTGATAAACGCTTGTGGTCAAGTCCGGTAGACAATCGAGTCGAACGGTCGATAGATTCCGACCGGGGTCAGAAAGAGGAACGGTCGGACGGCTGTGATCGTTGATGGAGGTTGGGTCGGATGACGGTCAGAGACCTGTAGAATGGACATTGGACAGTGGACAGTGGACAATGGACACTGGACATTGCGGACAACTGGGACCGGACGTTTGAATGAGCTGTGTGAGGAGGTGACGGGCGGATAAGGGCACAGTCAGGTGGACGGACGGACGTACAGGTCTCGCGGGCTTTAGCGGTAGGTTTTGCACCTAGAAAATTTAGTGTATGTGCTTCAGACTATATCTTCGCTGTTTTAACCCGCGCCCCACTGGGGTCTGCGTATAACACGCCCTACTGGGGGGGGGGGGGGGCTATTCATAGCCCCCCCCCCCCTCCTAACTCCAAAACTACTGGACCGATCGTCAAAATTCAAACGGTGTCTGATAGCCCCGGAAAAACTGTCGAGCAAAACCTAATTTCATTGACCTCGAGGTCACCAATGACGTCACAGGTCAGGTCAAATTAAAAATTATTAGCATTTTGGCTTCTTCACGTTTTGGGCTCTGGCCGCCGTCTTCCAAGTCAGATCAGGCTCATTTTTGGTTCACACACTCGTGAACAGATGCTCTAGATACTCTGAGGGTACCAAACTTGTACTGTGATTTTCAGGTCAAGGTCAGGTCATCACAGGTCACGAAAATATTATATCATCCGTCGGTCACGTGACACATGTTTTATGGTCCATTTAGGCCAAAGATTTCGAATTTGATGTCGTATGTGTCATTCAAGATCATTTTGAGTCAAATTTAGCTTAGGTCAGGTCACTTTCAGGTCATAAAAGGTCAAATTTTGAAGTTAAAATTTTTTAACAAAAAAGGTATCTATTGGATGCAGTTTGAGCTCAGGAACACGATGGTGCTATTTATATTGGCGTACGATGTCAAATTCATGCTGAATTTTTTTTTTGAAAAATTAATAATTGTTAATATT